GGGGGGGGGGTAGTTTTTTGGGGGATAGTATTCCGCATCCCCATCATAAACATAAGGTTCCATGCTAAGAACCAGAAACTGGAGTTTTGAGGCAGGAACGATCCAAATCGAAAATGAAAAAAAAAACAATCTAATTCTATTCCATAGTCGATGACTTGACCAATCCAAAGTGTCATGTATACCTGTCACCACAAACTCACAACACAACAAAATAGACGACAACCGACAACGTCTTCAATCTTCAATCTTCATTCTTCAAACAAAGCACTTAAGCAGGGTGAGCAGAATCACAATGACAGTGTAATTTGTCATGAAGTGACAAACAAGGTAGTTAAAGGAAATCCCAGAATCGATGACAGCAATTAAGTCGTTAGTTCCTTAATAATATATTCCATGTAAGTATTCCACTTCCCTTTTGTTATTTTTACCATTTCTATATAAATAAAATTAGAGTTTTGTCTGTACATTGCTTAGAATAATGAACTTTTTGGTTATTTTTACATTTCATAGGTCAGAGAAACCGAATCAAACCTTATCTCAATTTCTGTCTGTCTGTCTGTCTGTCTGTCTGTCTGTCTATCTGTCATTCTCTTGGTAACGCTAAAATACGCACTTTATTACAACTACTCCTCAATAACTATAGCACTGTCCCGCCTGAAACTTATTTTCCAAATACTATACATATATGAGATGGTTTTAGACGTATTTCATCGAATATGAGACAGTTAGATATTTAACAGTAAACCCTTGAAAATCAAGTTTTTGTCGATTTTTGACGTGGAATTTCTGGAAGCCCATGTTAACCTTATGAGAAATGAAATTATTGAATCTTAACAGCTGTTTCAATTAAACAAGTTGGTTCTGTTCTGTGATGTTCAATAGCATTAAAGTTACAAGGATTACCAACAGGGTGCAGCACTAGCACTATTATTTCTTTTACATTTATGACAACAGCTAATTTGCAACCTGGAGGCGAGTGAGCGTAGCGAACGAGCTAACCTGAAGGCAAGTGAGCGTAGCGAACGAGCTAACCTGAAGGAAAGTGAGCGCAGCGAACGAGCTCCAACATACAGGTGAGTGAGCGTAGCGAACGAACTTCAACCAGGACGTGATTGAGCCATGCAAACGAGATCAGATAGTAAAAATAAAAGTAAGCCTACCGTTAATATTATAAGATCCCCGTGCGTAGAACGGGTACACAGCTAGTCACAAATAAATGTATAAATTTATTAAAACGATCCTCTGCTCTCTTTGAAATGAAACAGCAAACAGCTGATCGGTTGATTTTGGTTAGTATTTACCTATATTTACACTAGTAGAAATTTACTTATACCATAGACGAATTGTCCATGCTTATACTAAACCTGAAGCCTGTAGAAACTTGCAAAGTTTATTTTACGTTCTAGAATTATGTGTTACTAACGTACTTTAAAATGTATGCGTTATCGAAGGTATCTCATAAATTTGCTAGGACGCCGGACCTAACTTAGTACCTATTGCCTACTTGCTGAATACTGAGTTCTACTAATTCTGCTAACTTGTAATGTAAGCTTTCATAAATTATCTTTAATGCAACCCTATACCTAAAGGGCTGTTGATATTATTATACCTACCATTAATCTTCCAGTAGGCCTAGGCGGCTGCACTTTACTTGACGTCCTACACTCATTCGATTGTTTTTTTTTTCGATTCGATATTTTTATTCAATATATTGTTTGGTTAGTTAGGTTAGGTTAACCTTACCTAACTAACCAAATGATATATCGAATGAAGCAATTGATTTATCGATATATCGATCGATATTTTTATTCGAATGAGTGTAGGACGTCAAGTAAAGTGCAGCCGGCCTAGGCTACTGGGTATTCATAAGGTATCAGAACTGCACTATTGATAGGTGGTACCACTAACTTAGAATATTGAAATAAAAGTAGGTTATTGATACTGTACCAGAGACGTTCATGATTTTGCTGCATTTGGGGTGGACGAAAATTATCTCCCTTCATAAAAATTAGCCTAACTTATTATCTTTCACATGGAAGATGTTCATGTTCAAAACAAAGGGTCAAGTTCATCGTGTTGAAGCAATAGGCTTCCACTTCTATTTCTAAACCCTAAGTCAGCCAAACTATGGAGAAACAAAGTTTTATACTCCTAGATTTTTAAAACTTGAGTTTATGTTGTAAAATCAATCAGAAGGCTTATTTTAACTAGCCTATAGGTCTATTTGGGTCGTTAAATCATATTTGTCTGAAAGGGAAACCTCCATATAACGTAGGCTAGGCTACTGTAAATTAAAATAGAGAACGGGATATGTGTGGAAAGTGCCCAACTCACACCATAGTTAGTTATTTAAAGCACATGTAAACTTAGACTTTTGTAAATAGTAACTTATGCCTATACTTTGTTTCCAAATAATTGAGAAAGTTTCTTAGACCATAGTGTTTTGGACTATGTTGTACTTTCAATAGCATCTTCCTCACAATTTCCATTTAGACTAACTTAGTTGTACCTATATTTCTCAGTGTTAGTTACATGATGATATTAATACATTTTTAATGATAAACTAGAAGACCCATGCTGTTCCGCAGCGTTGAAATAAATATAGGCTAATATCTATTCGAGAAATAATCAAATTTGTGAGTAAGTTAATACAGTATGCCGATGCTTGACGTGAAATCTGTGTGCGCATACCTTCACTTTGAGACCTCAATCATGAAAATCGGTCGGGTAGAAGAGCCAAATGAACTTGGAAAAGAAAAACCCAAATTTTTAGCCTAATTAACTTAATAATAAATTGTTATAGCCTACCCATTATTATTAATTAATAGGTGGGTCGCAAGCAAAATTCCAAGGTACCGTAGCCTAATGGTAGAACGCTCAACCAAAAAGTTTGGGAACCGCTGTCCTAAGTTCCAGGGACCAAAGAATCAGAATAGATGGTCCTCGCTAGTCCAAGCCGCTGGGGGCCTCCCTGCCCATAAAAGTAGTACTTTAGGTGGCATGCAACTGCCCAGTAATGATTAGGAACTGGAAATTCAAGTTGGTGCCCCAGATATTATCAAATCCACTGTTATATTCAAGTATGAGAAACAATCTTGTAATGGTGATGTCACTGTGGAGCTGAAACTCAGATAAAGAGTCAAGTAGGGTAGTGAAAGATTGTCCTTTATGAGCAAGTTACCTGGTGGAATAACTAGACTCTACAACCCAGATGGAGTATCAATAAGGAGGATTAATGAGATAGATTTGGCTTAGTAACCACAAGGCTGCCGTGTGGTTGAGTGTGCAGAAATGTCTAAATTTTGTTTCATCTAAAGGAGAGGCATGTACTGTGTGACGTCAGGAACCCACAGATAGTAGCACTAAACAAGACAAAAACCCACACTACAGTAATTTGAAACAGTCCCCACCACCAATGAAATTGTTGGATCTGAAAACAAATTATACCAAATTGAAGTTTAAAACTGGCACAACAAACGGCAAGCAACATTCCCCGTGCGAGGCTGAGTTCACACTGGATCAATACTTTAGAGTTAGGAATGCTACGAAGTTTAACGTAGTCTGCCTCGCACGCCAGTCCCGCACTAAGTTAAATAACATAGGCCGCACTCAAAATGTTAAGTACCCTAACTTGTAAGCGTAAAGCCACTTTTACACCAGAGTTAATGAAATTTCTTATTAACATTTGTAGATAACTTTTAGAAAACTTGACTTAATTTGTCAGTAACATTACCTGTTATTATTGCAAATCCCGTGTTTCTAACAAAAATTTTGTTACCCACCAAGAGTCGGTAACATTCCTTGATCTTCCTAGATTGTAATAACATGTGTTAATACAAATGTTTACTGCACATTTTGGATGTTATTAACATAAAAAATGCAATGTCACTAACTTATTAAATTTTCCTTAACTAGTATTGCTTTCCGATAGTTCGTGTCCTTTATGAAAACTCGGTGACCCAACATTTGAATCAAATATTCAAAGTTAAAAACTAGACATTTATCTGAAATTCTTGAATCTCCTGCCACACCTTAACTCACTCGACAAAGAATCTATGTCACCATCTTTTAAATCTTGCAATATGTCACTTCCACTTCTAGTTCTTACCTTAACAGGAGGCTTAACCCAGAAACTTCTTAGTTTCCTCTGCTTTGCTAAAATCACTTGACATTGTCGTGGGAACTAACATGGAAGCGTGGATGTGGAAGTAGTAAAATGTAAATAGGCTAACAAAAGTGACAAGTCAAATACTAAAGCCTACTAATATTTGTTAATAACTTTTAACATTAAAAAGTTGATAAAATTCATAATTCCAGTGTGAACGCGGCTTTACTTTACTTTTAATTTACTTTTTTATGAAATGGCGACCATACATAGTAGGTATTTTAAGCCAAGTATGAATGGAGATGAGTGTAGGATGAGTGGCGCGATCTTTTATTTTTAATTTATTTTAATTTTAGAAACAGCATTTAGTTTTGTACCTAGTAAAGCTTTAGTAAACTAAATATTCAATACGTAACATCTTATATTATTTTAGCTGTAACCATAAGAGTCGTGATGAAGTTAAAAAAAAGCATGAGTAGTCTACCGGTCTTTGTTTTCTAACTAGGCCTAATGTTAATTGAATTTAATCGGTATCGTCGAGTTGATATAATACATTGTATAATATTTAGTACACAACTTTGCATTCAGCCAACACCTCTTATCAGTGTTACACAAATACTATTTTGATAAGGAATTAAACATTTTCAACATTATATAACTGCAAGATATAACCTAGTTGCGGTTTATCTCTGCCTAAAACTTACAAATGATAATCCATTTAACTGGTTTTGTTTCCAAAGGTCAAATCACTCAATTCTATTTTAGCCACAACGGATATGTACACAATAATTACACGAGTTAGTTTTACGTTTCCTCTTTTTAGCCTATCTAAATTTAGTTTTGTCCAGATAATTTTAATTGATCACTTACCGATTGCATCACAGCACATTCACAATGTTATGAATAGATTGTTTATGCTAAATTTTCACTCCCCGCCCAGTCACTTGCCTTATCAGTCTGACCCATTGATTGTAAGTTCAGACAACAAAACTCTTGTATCAGCTGATTGCGGTTTGATCAGCTGTGAAAGTGTTGTGTGCCATTGAAGTTTCAGTGTTTTGTTTTGCCATGTCTAAAAGGTCGCTGATTATTCGGACAACTGATCTCGGAAGTGATGATGAAAGGTTGTAGGTTTTAATTGTTTAATATCCAGTTCCTTTATAGTTTATGTAGTTACTTAGCTTAAACATTTACTGTCTGGGCTATCCATCCCATTTTACCAGTATGTTTGTGCTGACTATTAGGTCTGATCAATGGCGAGTTGCTAGGAGGAAGCGCCATAGATTGAGAGTTAAAATTTCATCTTGGTCAGGTGGGGTTTATAAAATCAGGTAACCTTAAAACTCCTGAGGAATGGAATAACTGACGAAAAATATTTCCAGTTATTTCTGAATCTAATTGGTATGCCTACATATGTTCAGAGAACGGTTCAAACAGTGAATATATGTCTAATGCCAACATGTGTGTGGAGAATGAGCTGTAAAAGAGGTTAGAGTTCCAAAAAAAACCTTATAACATAGGAGAAAGAATTGAGTAGCGGCGATTTACCATTACATGTAGGGAGGCGAAAACCACCCGGACCAATATGAAAACCAGAAAACCTACACTCACTCAATAAGTAGAAGTTCTTGATTCTTGATTGATTGAGAAGTAGCTAATAGAACAGTAACATACACTTATCTAGTGCAGCATCCGGTACCGATATCTCTTTAAAAAACCTTATGGAATCCTTATGGTTAGGCTTATTTTTATTTACTGTCATCCATCCTTTTTATACAATATGTACAATTAATCACCATTAATATCAATTAATTTACAAAACTATGCTAACAATCATATCTCTAACAGAAATACAAAAATATTCATGCAGTTATTGAAAAACATATTTAGGCCAAATAACTGTTGGCTTACTTGCGGTACACTAGAAAAATCGACAATTCAAATACTATGTAGGAAAGATAAGGAAAGACTGTTGGATATGACAGTAAACAATTCTGATGTATTTTCAGATTTTGTTATTAAGTTATGTAGTTTAAATATTGATCACCAACATAAGTCCACTTGGCACTTATATTTTGAGTCAATAACACAAACTAATGGATTAAAGTGGTGATTGTACTGTTTTGTAAAGTCAGTAGACACACATCTTGAATTTGATAGCAAGTCGTTTACACAAAATTGAATTTTTAGTATCACGCTAAAATAAACCTAATTCATGACCACAGTAGAACCCCCTCATTTAGTTTATCGTCCAAGCTTTTCATTTTCTTGACTTTAAATATTGTTTTAGGTTAGGTTAAGAGTGTTTTTATATCTTTACCAACAACCATTTTTTAAAGTAGCCATTCCAGTTCAGTTCTTAGAATTGAAAAGTTTCAAATAACAGCATTGTTTACTTACATAACAGAATAGTTTTAATTAACAACACAGGTAACGGACCAATGAGGTTCAAGGATTGAGAGAAAAGAAGTAAAATTGTAATGATTCAAACTTCCAACTAATCAGCTGTTCGTTCAGGCCAATTTAATTGTTGATTGGTGCAATTAGTATGCACCAGTAGGTACAATGTTTCGTTGCATTGTCAGTGGCAATGAGAGGTTATAAACGAAAACATAACCTCTAGAAGTTATGAGTAGTGATTTTAGTAAAACACTATCGTAGGTAAAGTAGTGTACGCAACTTGCGTAAATAGTCTTCACGACTCACGTAGAAGTTTTTAAGGCACTCATCAAGTCTTGTACCTTACATTTTTCTACTCAAGTTGTTAACACTATATCTACGCAATCATTGTGTAACTACTATTCTTCACCTTTGCTTTTGCTCCTCTGATGCTTGTCATCATATGATTTCATAGCTATTTGAAATATTTTGTGTTGTGACTGTGTTATGATCCTATCTAAGCCCTCCAGAAATTTGTGTATCTGTATAACAATGGCAAGTGCTATAAGAGGTTCTAAGGTAGCTTGATATTGACTTTTTATTACATGATTTGATTGACAGACGGGAATGGAATAGCGGGGGAAAGATGGTCATCCCCACTGCCATACCACCACCCAAACCTGCACCTTACAACTATGCAGACACATTCTGGTGTACCTACCTGGTCTCCGTGGTGGCTGCCAGTATAGCAGAGATGTGTGAGTTTTCATTATAACTTAATCAATAAAATGTAAAAAAAACCATTATTTGATGGTTTTAAATTGTACTTTGAAAAATCGGTTCTAGTACTCAGAAACTTAAGCAAAAATGCTGTGACTTCACCTTTCAAACCCATTGTTACTTTGCACTCGGTAAACTTAGCAATATTATTAAATACCTGTGTTGTAATTCAACACTTGTGTATGATTCTTTTGCACGTTTAAAAACAATAAACCTTAGTTTAGGCTTGATTAATCCTGGTTGGTAGGTAGTCCGAACTAGATATCACTGATAACTTTACTAAATGTGTTGTAGTTTTGCCGATGAATGTTAATTTCATGTTGCAGTGACATATCCGCTTGACCTGACCAAGACCAGGCTACAGATTCAAGGCGAGAAGGCAGCAAACAATGGAGCTTCTCGTGTGAGTTGCTATCATTAACTATATTAATACTCTCCATATGAAACTTCTAATCAAATGTTGTACAGTAGAGCCGCATTGTTATCTGAGCCCAAACTATCTGAATTTTTGTTTAACCAAGCTACTGTTGTTTCACAAAAAATTTTATCTCTGTGTGTTGTTACTAATAATATGTGTTGCACACCAGGCAGCATACCGTGGGATGCTCAAGACGGCGCTGGGTATCGCCAGGGAGGAGGGGACTACCAATCTTTGGAGGGGGGTGACTCCGGCCATCTACAGACACGTAGTGTACAGCGGCATACGCATTGTGGCTTACGAGCGGATACGTGACAATGTGCTCAAGAAGAACAGCAACGGTACCTTCCCTATATGGTACTTGTCACTGTATCATGCCATCCGTCAAAATAAGTGAATATAGTCTGTTCACAAAATTTAGGCGGTTTGAGGGGAGGTTACCCACAATTTTTTGTTTAATGTTTAATGTTGCACCTGATTGACTTTTCGGCAAACCTCAGCTGTTAAGCTATAATTTCAAAGGTAGGATCAAGTGGAGGGGATAAATTTCTTCCCCTAAAACCGCCTAAATTTTGTGACCGAGTTAATAATATCTTTCAGCACACAGACAACTGGGGTGTAGTACGGAGAGAGAGGGAAAATATTGTGTGCATCTTTATCCTGCTAGCAAAAGTGTAATTTATACAGGTCTGAAGTACATTTGATATGACATACCTGACAATTATAGAAGATTCCCTTCCATTTAGCTGAACCCACAAAACATTCAGTGAGTTATCAGTAAGAAGTTAAAAATATAACACAATTAGAGAACAATGGCCTAGGTCTTAAGACTTTTTATCCTAACAAAAATCCTTAAAACCTAGTGCTAAAAGTAAGTTCTCAAGTACATTCTCACCAGTATGCAGACTGAGCAAAATAATCTAAGAAAAACGTTTAAAGGGCAGACATTAACTATTTGATTTACGGTTTGTAAGATGGTGTAAACTATTGTTTCTACCATGTTGTCACACAAACATTCCTCCGTATCTCAAAAAGGCCCTCCTCCAATTGGCTGGTAGTTTATGTCAACACACCCACTGTATTTTATAACAGTGATCTATATTCTATACACTGTAATTCTACAGTTCTATAACAGTGTTACTCAGGAGGTAGATGGGTTGGTAACGGTTTTTTTGCCTGTTAGGAAGTCAGCAATCGCCGGAGTGACGTCTGGAGCCTTGGCTCAGTTCATCGCCAGCCCGACGGACCTCATCAAGGTTCAGATACAGATGGAAGGCAAGCGCAGACTGATGGGGAAACCACCGAGGTGAGTCAACCTTCCACATCTGAACTGAAACCTACTGAAAAAATTGACCATTCAAATATAAACCTTGAGTTGGGTCAGATCTGGATACATACTAGAATCTTTGTTGATTCCCCCAAAATATCCTTGTCCATTTCACTATTGTTCCAAATTTTTCATTATTCCTCTCATTCAGTGATGGAAACTACCAAATTTCAATAGTTCAAAATTAAAGGGCCTTTGCTCAGAACTGTACTTATCACACACTGCAACATAAGTGTATAGCTCAGAACTACTATGCTTGTGATTTAGGTTTGCCAGTGGTAAGTAAGTGGTAGGTTATGTGGTAGGCAATTAGGCCTGACCAGTGGTCAGTGTTTTAGGCTGCGATTATGCCACACTACTTGAAAAACATAAAAAAAAATCTCAGTGATTATTTAAGTAATAAATGTTTGCTGTGTATTATGGGAAACAAATTCATTTATTCACAAAATGAAAATTTTCAATTAAATGTTTATTTTATATCAACTGTGGTGTAACATTAGTGTTTGTGACTAGAGTGCACGGGATGGTGGATGCGTTCCAAAAAATAGTGTCCGTGGGAGGAGTGAGAGGTCTGTGGAAGGGTTCCATCCCTAACATGCAGAGAGCAGCACTAGTCAACCTTGGGGATTTGACTACATACGACACAGCCAAGCAGTTCATACTGAGTCACACGAGTCTGCCGGACAGTCATCTGGTACACATGTTATCCAGGTAGGCCTACTATGATCATGGCAAACAGTCACCTGCATGATGTCACTATGTTCTTTACCTTTTTTCTTGTTAAATTCAATTATGTGGATCTTTAACTATCCGGATTGGGCCCAGTCCCTGTTGATTCAGATATTTAAGATTTCTATTGAATTTTTTTACCTGTTGGTGGTATTTTGACACAAGTTATAGTTAGAAAAACCTATCTGATACCCAAGGCTCGATTTGTGGGGGAACGCGGCAGAACGGAGTATCTACCTCTCTTTTGGAAAGATAAAAATATTGTCATAAGTAGGTACTAATCACATTAAATAGGTTACAGCTCCGGCACCTCATTCTTTACAAATCGAGCACTGCTGCTAGCGCTCAGTATATTTCCAAATCCGAACCCAGTAATTGTTGTTGTTTCACATGAACAAGCGTTATTACAACACATTCTGTTGGTTTATGTTATTTTTTTAGTCATTACAAAATTACTAATACGTTCCCTATCAAGTAACTTGCTCAGGTGTTCTCTGTCAACGTGTCAAGTAACTCATGTTATGAACCAATTTCTGCAAATGGCTTTTGAACAACCCTTTTTATTCTCTAAAAGATTTTTTTGATATGCCTTTTATACATTTACATTTTTAAGTAGAGCCAGCAAATTTACCAAATTACTGTTGGATTTAGTTGGTTATGGAGTTTAATAACTTCCGTTATTCCAAATGCCTTGACTTTTTCTTAACAATAAGATTATTTGGTTGTAATATTTATTAAAATATCTATTGTAACATATCTCCTTGTGTATAGTATATTGTATTCATTAACGGACTACAGTAGACTCCCTCTTATCCGGACTCCTCGGGACCGAGGCCAGTCCTGATAACGGTTATTCCGGTTAAACCGACGTCCCCAAAATCTCATTAAAACGGACCGTTTTAATACATACTCCATACAGTACTTGACTTAAAATTAGGAGAGTATTGTATTTAGACACATAATCACTGGTCTCAAATCTTTCCAACAAGAACAGTCATTTCAGTACCGCTCACTTCCTACCAATCTAGTCCGGATAAAGAGATTTCTACCGAGTGTAGTCCGGTCAAACCGATGTCCGGTTAAAAGGTGTCCAGATAAGAGGGAGTATACTGTATGCTAATTTTAGCAGTTTTATGACATTGTCAATAATTTGTATAAATTCACAAGACAATAAACCCATTTCATTTCATAGCCAGTAGTGATGAAAGTGTCATTTGTATGTCATACGTCATTTGCCAATTCAGGGTGTCTACCATCCGGGAAAACCGGGAATTGTACTTAATTTTTTACTGGCCATGAAATGTACGGGAATTGTCCTTAAATGCCAGACTATGTCCTTAAATTTTTAATGGGTCATAATTTTATCGATCGCTAGTTGGTTAGGAGCACATAAAAGGTTTATCAGATGTTTGTTTACATTTTCATAATTTATTACTAGAGTAATTATACAATAAAAACCCCATTAGCAGTCTCAAACCCATTAATATTTTATCACGACAATCAAGTGTCAAGTCAAGTACTTCCAAGAATTGTTGACTCAGTAGTAGTTTAGCTCATAAAAGTTGTATCACTTTTATTCCTTTATTTATTACTAGGGTAATCATTATTAGATCCCAAACATATTTTATCATGGAAATAATAGTTTTATAATGGCTGTTAAATTTCACTTCTTACTTGTAATTTGCCGCTGGCCATTGCCTAGTGCCATAAAACTGTTTATGGTTTTATATAAAACATGTAACTAATCTACAGTCTTATTTTGTAAGTTAAACCCTTTTTTATGGATATTTTATCTTTCAATTGACAAAACCAAAAGCATTGTTGTTTGCATTAAATTGTTATCACTACGTAGGCCTACTTGGTTTCAAATTATGTCATTGCATTTTCTGTATCTTTGTACATTGCCGGCGGTCAGGTTTCAATTTTTTTTATTTCCCATCTTTATTTATTGCGTTGTATGCTTTAAGCAATCTAAATCTTATGAACTAGAATGATGATAGGCCTATTGTAGTGACTTTGCTGATATTATAACCTCATTGTTTGTTACTCAGTTTATATAGGCCCTCCTAAATAATTAGGCCTAGGCCTGGGTATTTTGATTCTTTGAAAGTGCTGTAAAATATACTAAGAAAATGTAGTTGAGCCTAAGATAAACTAATGATTGCTATGTGTCGATATTAACTTTGCAGATGAAAAGACAATAATCTTACTCTGTGCTTACTGGTAGCCGCTTACCATACCGATTTTGTACCTAGAACTGAGTTACAATAATATATTCATTATGCATTAAAGATTTTTTTTCCAAAAGTAGTCGAGAACCTAACGTTGTGCCAGGGCGAATAATGCCAAATTAATCCGCCTGGATCGGATAAGCTATGTTATGATGTTTCCGTGACCGATGGAGATATTTAGGATTTTGTCGCTATTGCAGGAGACAATGATTGCGTTTTTCTGTTACACTATAAAAGCTGTACCTAAAGTATATGTTTGTTTACTTTCAATAAGTTTCTATTTTGAAATTTAATTCTTGTCTATTATTATTTACTTTTCTCTCTGGAACAACTACAATGAAGAACAAGATTAATACAGTTTGAGAAATCAGGAATATTATTCTGTAATCACACCGACAAAGGTCCTTAAATGTACGGGAATTGTCCATGAATTTTTTATCCAGAATGTAGTAGACACCCTGCAATTGACCATTTACCATAAATGCTAGTGTAAAAAATAAAAATATAACAGTTTGTATATTGTAACTTCCCCAAAATAATTGATTTGCAACTATGTATATAAATGATAAATTCTTGTAAATAGACAAAAATATGGATGGAAGATGAAAGCAATTTCCTCTGTGAAAGTTAAGTGACCTGATTTATCATTTTGCAGTGCATGTGCTGGTCTAGTGGCAGCTACCATGGGAACTCCTGCAGACGTGGTCAAAACAAGGATTATGAACCAGCCGACAGATGCTAACGGCAGGTAACTTTTCAATACTTTTTGGGCTCATCTTTACATTGTCAGGTACCATTGCAACATAGTTTGATGACTTGGTGTTTCAGAGGACTTCTATACCGCAGCTCCTGGGATTGTCTGTTGAAGACTGTTCACAACGAGGGCGCCCTGGCTCTGTACAAGGGGTTCCTGCCTGTGTGGATACGCATGGCTCCTTGGTCACTTACATTCTGGCTCAGCTTCGAGCAGATACGCAACACGTTGGGCGCCACCGCGTTCTAACTACAGGTTAGAGGTGGGCATACTATAAGGATAAGTGTCACCTTACCACTTATAAGGATAAGTGTTACCTTGGTAATAGATTATTTTTTATAAATGTCTCATATTAGGCTACCTTGCTCCGCTGTGTGATCCTAGGTTAGTAGTAAGTAACACTACTATATTTTCAGACTACTGTTTTAGAGTCCATCTTCAAGTGCAACATAAATACAGTCAAGGATAGATCCTATGGAACCAATGAACAAAAACATCTAACATTGAAAAAAAATATTGTTGATTCTATCATATACATGTCCAACTGATTGTCTGCTTTCAGGGTCAAAGACTGAATTTCCTGATTACACTTACCACTTGAGAGAGGACCACAGCAGCAGGCAAATGAAAGTGCTTCTTAATAGGATAGATACACAATATGGTGTGTAAGACATAGTTGCATAGTTTGTGAATTTGTTTCAAACGCATCCTTTAAATTGTAATTATTATTTTTTATGTTTGATCAATTTATGTAGGTTTTTTATCTAGTCACATAGAAGCTAGAAACTTTCTAGCTGAAGTGTAATCAAGTCAAGTTTGATTTTAGCGATTCAGAGAACTTTTTGTTTGATGGAATCATTTCCCCTGCACAAGAAATGGTATGTGTACAAATGTCAAATGCCATTAAGCTATTAATTGATTACTTGTTGACATTTTTGCCAAAGATTAATAATGCAAGGATATTACAAAGCATTTTTGTTGTGGAAATTTTTTTGCACATATACAATAATAACCATCCCCGAGGCTGATATGTATTGGTTTCAGAGATAAATTGTCCATCAACAAAAGAATATTTATATTTTACAGGGTATCATACTTGCAACTCTCATAGAGTAGCAAGTAATTCAATCATACTGTAACTCATTTCATGAACCAAACTAGTAAACTGATGTTTGTTTACGCTCAGTTTACGCTAAATGTGACTGAAGACAACTCAATAATATCTTACTCATTCCCATCATCTCAGAATGTGTGTATCTGGGGAGAATTATATAAATCCCTCTTCCCCATTTCTTGTGCCCTAAACTGTTATGTTAAAGGGTTTGATGCTGATTATACTAAATGGAAGTGGTATATATAGCCTATTTATCACAGTGAATGTTTTGAATGCCAAAAGGATTGTTTTATATTACAACTTCACCTTGCAGGTGGCTATTCTTGATATTATCGAGGGTTACTTTTTTGTTATAACTTAAAAGGCTGTTTAGTTTGGTCTTGGTGTTTTGAATATTTTATCTGTACCACTTTCCTTCCCTGGAATCGCTACATATTTTTATGGTGGACACTCACATAGTAAGGATGAGTAAATACTCCTTCTGCAGCAAGCCTGCATACAGAGCAAATTTACATTTGCTCGATGATATTTTTCTCTAAAATGTCTTCTTAAAAAGGTCAGTTTTGTTCCCTATTTAAATAACATTAGTTTAACGAGTACATAGGTTTGCAGCTACAGAGGAGGTTATTGAGTGTTTATTTAGTAAAATGTTAGTTCAGTAAATTACTAAATTTTATCAAAATATGTTCATAAATAAGCAAACTACGACAGATAACTTCAAGATATGTTCATAAATAAGAAACTACGACAGATAACTAATTTTCTATAACAACGCATAATAATGCTTCAATATACTTAATTGTTGGTCTTTTTAAGCTCTATAAAATGGTTTAGAAAGAAATTGTGAAACTTTGTTTTGGGATAAAAAATAGGAAAGCCCATTCCTTAAGTCCAACCATGCTGGTTCGCGAATTCGTTCAAATAAACATAGCTTTACCTTTACACGTTTGTACCAAATTTGATCAAAATCGGACCATTTTTGCTCGAGTTATTGCGCTTACGATCACACACACACACTCACACACACATATATATATATATGAAATCTATGTTTTATTTATGTATGGTGTTTTTAGCCTCTGGGGACCTCAAAACAAAAGATAAATTGGTCCCGGGTCCAGGTCCACCATGAGAACCACGGTAATAGCTGTTTACCTATATGGGAAATTTTCAATAAAAATACCAATAGGTACCACCTAGAAACCATTATTTTAATTTTTTATTATTTAAATATCAGGGCAACTTCTACTCAAGCCGTTTAACATTTATTTTGGAGGGTCTCTCCTACCTATCTGCAGTGCTGTCTTCTAGACTGCTAATTTGTATATTGATTATATGACTTGCATTCATTTTGGGTCAACCTCAAGCCCAAGCAATAAGCATAGTGTGCGCCATATATCGTTTTAACCAGACGGACTACACTCGGTGGAAATGACATCTCTTTAACCGGACAATTTTTATCAGCACATAGGTTTAACCGGACTAGATCGGCAGGAAGTGGGCAGTACTGAAACGACTGTTCTCGTAGTAATGATTTGAGACCAGTGATCACGTGTCTAAATACAATGCTCTCCAAAATTTAAGTCGAATATCACAGTAAACAGTCCGTTTTAACAAGTTTTGGGGGACGTCGGTTTAAACGGAAAACCCGTTATCCAGACTGGCCCCTGCCCCGAGGAGTCCTGATAAGAGGGAGTCTACTGTAGTTCCAAACTCGACTCCCAGGTTGCAGTGAATGTCATGTCTAACTGTCAAACTCATATTGATGGTTGTGAGTGTAAGTTTGGTTGTGTTGTTTATGAGTCCAATTTATCGCAACCCAAGCATAAATTTGTCTGTATACCCTTGTACATAGTATATGGAGAAAGTATTGTTTTTGTCAAAACGGAAAAGTAAAGTATTGTCGAGTTTTAAGTTACATTTTTATGTTATAGTCCTTTTCACACTAAAACAAGTTGTTACAAGCCATATCGATTTAAAAGTTACATTTCAAATGCTATTGCTACTTTTGTGATTTCCCCCATGAAATATCTTTGTTACCCCCACTACCCTTGATGATAAGGGTTGTTGACATGCTAATGGGAGAAAGTATGTGTCAGATTGCTGATACTGTTAATTTTATAATTATTTCAAAGTTAACTATTCTTTTAAATTATTAAAGATAAACCTCTGTAGCAATTCTAGGGTTTATGTATTTTACTAATTTAAATAAGAAAAACGTGTTTTGTTAAGATGACATATTTTAGTTTCCACCAAATAATTGTTTGTTATTCAAAAATGAAATTTAATGTTTTGTTGTCTTATAATTCCCTGCAAAATGCATACACAGCACCCAAATAACGATTATTGTTCACTGTGTCACATTTTTAATTACAGCTCAAAATCGAAGTCAATGTTAATAGTTCATTAGTATTTAACTTACTAATGTGTGTTTAGAGTTGTATTTATTTAATTGCATTACAGTTTAATTTAGTTATTGTATTTAGATGAAGACTTAGTAAGGTAACAGCTCCGATGGGCTGGCAATGGACGGCATTGTAGAATAGACAAGTCCTCCTTCATTGTCCACAAAATAGTACATGTTTTACCTCAAACATTATGTTCATAATAATGTATTTAAACTTGAAATCTAACATCTGATTTTAATATCAAAGGCATCTAATGTGTAATTTCAACATGTTACCAGTAAGGTATTGAACGCAAAGCGTTGCAAATGTATAGTCAAATTATTGTAATGTAGTAAGATAATGTATCTTTGTAAATATTTTCTTAGATTAAAGTTGTACCAATTGTTGTAGATTGTTGTATTTTTATTCAGACGTTACCATTCTATGCATCAATTATCAATTATTTAAGATGGAGACGCCACTATGTGCGTATTTTAACCCAAATATGAGTGAAGGATGAGTGTAGGATGAGTGGCGCGATCTTGTAGTCTTGTTAGTGACTAAGGCCGACATGTTCCTTAGACACAGCTGTTAATTAATAGCCCATACAGCTAATGGCAACTAAGGGACCTACAGTTTATTGTGGAATCCGAACCACATTTTTTCCTCGTAATTAACGAATTGGTCTAATTATTAGGATACTACTGCGGATTAGTGTTCGGACATCGATAGATCACCATCGATGTTACCATCGATAGCAACATCGAACTATCACCATCGATGCTGCAAAACCATCGGTTCAAAAACATCGATATTTTCATGAGAAAAACATCGAAGTTTTCAACTTAATCATATCGAATTTTTGAATTTTATAATCTCAGTATTCCGTTATTCATAAAAAAAATGCCGATATGACGGAATTCGCGGGAAAACTAAACCTCCGTTCCTCCAAACTCGCTCCATTCCCCGCTCGCAGATAGGATTGTCACGCCAAGTCGGTCCAGTCCACTCTGTTCCGTTCCAATTTGTCCATCTCCTCTGCTACAAACATCGATATATTTATAATAGATAAAACATGTTTTATCTATCTATTTATTTTACGATCTTTGACAAACAGCTTCAGCAAAAAAAACATCGATACCAATACATCGATGGTAGTAAAACATCGACTTTCTTACATCGATGGTAAAAACATCGAACATCGACCTCCAAACATCGATGTTTTGAAAACATCGATGTTCGATACCGAACACTACTGCGGATAGTACTCACTAGTGCGGATGTTAATCCACACCAGGTAGCATCGCATCCACAGTGCATCCCTATAATTATCCACAATTCGTGACCTCCTAGTAGCTGGATTAGAGGACGCCACCCGTCCCAGTCTATTGTTGAGCGTGAGTTAAAAATATTCCGTTCTCAAGTCTGAGTGTTACCAGAGTAACATTGTTGCATCATTAAATTTAGTCCAGTCAGTGATAGCATGGATGAAACATACTCACTTGGTAGATGTCCCATCATTATGGAACAGCTGAAGCCAATTTTATTGTTAGTTCTGTCCGGTGCAATGTAGAGGTCGTGTTTTGTTTACAATTTGTTTCTTGTTATTTCAGTAATTTGAAACACCATTTAACCAAATAAAACTATATAACCATAAACAATAACTCATCCTCTAGTTATGTAACAAAACAGTAAAGCTCAAATCATGAAATTAACTCCGAAATTATAGAAACAAAATCTCGTTGACAAAAGCCACCAGTGTTACTGGACATGAAGTAGCACTATGCTCTTGCGTTACACATTATATTTTCCTCTACAGTTACAGTATTATAAAGCATACAAATAACTAGTCTTTCAAACACTAAACAACACGTTTTGGGTTAGGTTAAATCCAAGCGTAGAATGAAAATAGAATGTTAACATGAACCAAAACCACAGGTTAGTCGTGGTATCAATTGTCAAAGACTGGGAAACTCTGCACCAGCTGATTGTAGTCGTATCTTTAAATAAGGTTGCCAACTTATTTTCAAGCATACTTGAATTAGGTAAAAGCACCTAATAAAAGCACAGTTGTTTGGTTGAGATACAGGACTGCGGCAAAAGTAAGTAAATTCAGCAATTAGATACTTTGTATGTGAAACTCTCCAATGATTGGTCTCGATTATTACAGTAATGTACAACCAAAAGGAAACCACTTTTAAAGTTATACAAACACTGGTGTATTTCATAAGAAATGTTACATACATATATACAATATAAACATGAGTAACAACGCTATACCAACTAGCATATATATATATAGTTATGTACAATTTTACATAGAATCGTTGTGGATTTTATAGACTAGAGCAAGTTTTGGTTCTACACAATTGCACCAAAAACTAATATTTGTATTGAATTAAACACAATGATTTACAATGTCACTCTTATAATGATAAATATTCATACATACAAAATAGATATACATTTATGTTTTAAATAACAATGTAGTAGTTTATAAAAAACAAATGTTAACATTTTCTTGAGAAAATTTTTAAGGTTAAGGAATCACTAACATACACCTTAACCCTGTAGAAGTGAAAATTGTTTAAAACCTTAACCCACTCTGGATTTTAATTATGTACAAATTCTTCAGCAAAATCATAATAATCTTAATAAATACCACAGCCAAGATATGATCAATATCACAGGAAACGGTGCAAGAGAAAAATGTGTACTTATGTTGAGGACAACAATTTACAAGTTCCCTACCATATAGTAAAAGAGGCCCAGGCACTGTAATCGGGGGCAATCAAATTTGAATAAATATTAAATAATATCCATGAAATTTCATGTATGTGTATTTTATAAAGTGGATTAGCCCACTAAAAGTAAATCCACTTTTTAAAACCCGTTGGGGTATAGGAAATCGCTTAAGCAGATTAGTATTTGGATTTGGCATATCTAGGAATATTGGTAACGTCAAAAGTTCACTAAAAGGCAGCATAGTGAAGGAGAGTATCAGTGGACAGTGTAATTTTAAATTCTAGAAACTACATGCCAAAGTCCATGAAATAAAACATTAGCAATTATTGGTCGTTTTGATTTAGGATATAACATTTCAGGGACATTTGAAACTGAAACTACAGGATAGTACCAATTTAATAACCAAGTATTGTCATATAATTCTGCATGATTCAAGCTAATATAAATTTATGAAAATAGTTATTTGTGCAACTAGTGAGCAATTGACTCACTCGAGAGAAATACTTGCTCATGAGCCGTAGGCGAGTGAGGAAAAGTTTCTCGAGTGAGGCAATTGCACTTTGCACTCGAGTTGCACATTATATTTTTCCTACAGTTACCATTACCATAAAACAAATAAATTGGTAAAGAAACGTAACATATTTTAACACAGAAGTGAACTTTTAATATGACATTTAATGATACAACAATACAACAGCTGACCAGCTGATTTACAGCCAGTGCTGCCAACGTTTTTCACGCGCATACGACCTTGTCTGCATGTTACGCGATCACTATTTCGTGCCTTCACGTTGCAAATCTGGAGTGAGACAAAGTAATTAGAGTGAGACAATGTTAACATTGTCTCACTGATGAGCGAATTGGCCACTTTGCTTTCTCAAATCAGTGAGAGAACATGTACATTGTTAGGTAACTGCAGGAAAAAGTTATAATCACCTTAAAATAACTTCTTTTCCTATAAAATTAACACCCTAAATGTTAAAAATCTGTTGGAAACTGAAGGTAATTTATTTTTTACAAACACTGGCCTCTTTGTACATACAAATGCAAGTCCTATTTCAAACAAGGTCTAATAATATAATTACGTGGCATTTATCAATATTGTGGTGAATTTTGTTCCAAACCTTAATGGATAACTGAATGGGGTTGAGAATCATTAGCACAGAGTGAATGTAACCTCCAGAGAAAGGAAGAATGACGTCACAGTTCATCCTTCAGCAACAACTTGGGCAGTCGAGACCAATCAACACTCAAAGCTAGCTGGAGCTGCTTTAACCTCTGCAGCTTGCTAACCACTCTACGCAGGGCTGAAAACATACCACTAGTCAGTAAAAATACTACACAAGGCATATCTCACTTAATTCTAAACTCCTGGATTAAATATGCCCAGTTACATCCCCATCCTTATCTATATAAATAAAATTAGAGTTTTGTCTGTACATTGCTCAGAATTATAAATTTTTAGATTATTTTTTTGTTTTATACATTAAAGAAGACGAAACAAGTCTCATCTCTATTTCTGTCTGTCGGTCGTCTGTTACGGCACAAGAGGCATTTTACGCGGCCTTCTCCTGAAAAACGAGAGTACCTATCAAGATCCAAATCATTTTAATGTATTCACTGGATTGGCGAGATTGTCTTTAGCCATTAAAATATGGCCTCATTATTTTTTAAATAAAATGATGGATGTTTAAAAACCCGATTTCGTGCGATTTTTGTCAAGTTTTTTCCTAATGTCCATCACATAATCATCTATGAAATAACGAACAGCTGTTCGGATCAAGATTATTTTTTCTAGCTGTCACTGATATGTTTACATTAAATGTTGTTTACAAATACCGCAAACGTTTCCAATAACGGTTTGAAAGCAAAACCCAAACCAAGTGAGATTAAAAACGAGTTTCCTTACATAAAGGATTGAATTAATCGAAAGTTCAATAATGTGTATTGTAACCGTAAATGAAATTAGAGATTCTTTGTGTATAAAATTGTTCTGAAGTTTTGATAACTGGGAAAAGTCCTTGAATCAGTGTTGTATAGGGCTGGGAACTTACATTTATAAAATCATCGTCACCAATAGCTTACTAACAAGATTTTCACTCATTGACGGCGTTTCAATGGCGGTTGTGTGAAGTGTAAAGTGAAAAATCATAACTGCAGTGGGTGATTGTAACAGAGGTTTGCCGGTTTACGGATGATGCTAAACTCGCTTTTCCAATGTGTCACTTTCGGTTTCTACTCACCGCTATGTGCTGCAATGGCTGGACCATACAGCCAATAAGCACATAGACTGTATCTAATAGTTTTGCCAGCACGTCTGAAAATATGCAAACCAACTGCTGCTTTATAGGTTCTTTATATAATAAGGTTTCATCTGACTACTATAAGATCCCCGTGCGTAGAACGGGCACACAGCTAGTTGGTAATAAAATAGTGATGTGTGAACTCTATAGTTGTAACTCAGTCCCTGGTAGAAAAAGCCATATATTCTCTTAAGGGATTCTTTACTCGTTGTGAACTATATTGGATCATCCTCACAGAGAAGGCACAATCAAAGGGTGTTCTCATTATTGGCTTTGTTTTGGTTGTCAAGTAGTGTCAAACTAGAGCTCTAGTTAGCGCTATAAACACCAAAGGTAAAGAAGACAACGGCAACAACTGAGTGTCCTCAAATTGCATACGGAATTTAATTTAAAAGTGTCCAGTTTACATAACTTGTATGTCCTCTTAAAAGACTTTTTATTTCAACAACAGTAAAACCCCTTCTAAACACACCTTGTTAAACTGAAACCCAGATTAAATTGGACCATGATAACAAGTTTTATCAATAGTTGAAAAGTTAGTAGGGCAACAGGAATTGTTTGCTGTGGCACTGGCCAACAGAATCTAACGGAGCAGACAACACAGATTTTATATTATAATGAAGATTAAAGTTAAGAGAACAATTAATTTTGTGAATACAGTCGTAGATTTTAAGATGACAGTTATTAAAATTACATAAAAATTAACTGTATGGACCTAAGTTGAAATAGCCCCAGTTGGGCTCACCCCTTTAAGTTGAGTTAATTGTTAAAAATATAAAAAATAATATTATTACCCTTCATGAATTTAAATCAGACTTTATACAAATTAAAAACGTTTTCGTTGGCTGTTCAAAAACAACTGTCTCAGGTCAAACAAAAGTTACAGAGGAATAATAAAGTACATTAATTGTTACCGAAATATATTATTAACGAAGTATCTCCACTAGTCTAGTTAAAATATATCTTTAAGGTGCCATGGGTAACAAGAGTTGAATATTCAGAGAAGCATTTAAAAAAATCAGGAAAAAATAAAAATGATGTGGTTGCATTTGGAAATTCTGGTAACGAAGGGTATAATAGAACAAGTTTAACATTTAAGAGGCAGAAAATATGGTAAATGGAGGGTGAAAGGCTACATAGCTGACCTAAGGGCTTGCCCTCGGTGGAATCAGGTGTCAGAGACAAGGCTCTGTAGCGGAGCAGATGAGAGGAGATAGCATCCAACACTTCCCTCCGCACTTGGACAAGGCACTGTCTACGAGCAACATTAGTCTGTAACAAACTCACAACATTGTTAACATGTAAAACTAGTACAAACAAATAATCACACCTGATAATAATAAGGTAATAATTATTTGTGAGATAAGAATGCGTCTATATGTAATCTGTAATGTGAGCTATCATCACACTAAATTTCAGCCCAATCCGACCAGTATTTTTCGCGTTTACTTGTTACAAACATCCATCCATCCAAACTTTCTCACTTATATTACACTTTCACTTATATTTGTAGGATGAATGATAAGTTACAGCGTTTAAAAATAGCACCTAAACAATGCAGATGGATCTCACTCTCACTCTACTATTGTCTAAGTCTAGCCCAGTTTGTGATATTTTTGAATTCAATAGGCCTATTTCATCAGTCTTTCAATAGAATAAATACAAAAAATTATTTTCTTTGTTTGAAGTTCATTGAACAATTACGACTACACCCGACGATGGAGGCCTACTAATCTCCAAAACGGCCATAGTGTCATAACCAACAATGATTACGAAGACAGTAAGTAAATAATATTTATGAAGTTCATTGTTGGTGATGGTGAGTTAATGTTGTTTAAAGGTTTTGTTGCGGACATTTTCCATCACGATGGTAAAAAACAATACACAACGTTTCAGGATCTGGAATCTGATCCCGTCCTCAATGGTGAGCTGTTCACACTACACCTTTTATAGACTATAGTGTTTTGTGATTGGTTATTAAAATTATTTACATGTTGTATCATGACTTGACTGCTATACAGTGCATATTTTTTTACTGCTACCCTCTATCGTGTATTCCAACTTAGGTTCCCAAGGGTGTTTGTGTATTGTTAGTTGTAATGTGTTAGTTCATATAAACAAGACTCTGTACGTTATAAATAACAATAAAGTCTAATTAACTGGGTGTCTTAAACAATTTATAACCATACCTGTGATAGTTGGCACACCTGCACCATGGCAAACAATCTTAGCTCCAAAGGCAGGTTGGCCAACACAAACTGTGTTAATGCCTCTGCAGTAATGCCACCCCGACCGGTGAAAACTCTCGACTCGTCCTTCCTAGAAAATCATAAAACTAATTTTAAAAAATTTTACTTTGTATACTTATTAAAACTAAATAAAACTTAAATAACTTAAACAAAACTGATTTGATTTGAATTACAGTAATTTGGAAGATAAGTAAAAAATAAAACTAAAATTTTAACAAGGAAATCTTTGTCTTTGTAAGAATATCATTTTACCAAAAAGTTCAATGAGAGAAACTAATTTTTAGTGGGAAAATGAACATGTAAAATGTTTTTCAACGGTTTCAGCAGGCAATATTCAGACTGCACTGACAGTAAAATAATTGGCCAGCAACTTTTCAAAAACCATATTTTTTTACATTTTATATGGTTCATAACTTAGCAAGCCTATGGCCTATATTAAATTACATAACTAGGTCTAAATATTAGTGGTCAAGATTCAAATGTGCTAATAAAGAGTTTTTTTTAAATAAAACATGTTTTAACTATCTTAAAAAAAATTAGTTTATATAGTTTGCATATTTAGGCAGTTGATTTTTGTATAAGACAGCAACAATTGCCTATTGCTATTACTATGGACTCCAGCAGCAAAAAGGCACAGCTTTTTTAACACATGTTATTGGGATGAGAAAAAGGAAGTAAACAAAATTCTGGTTAACGACTCAGCAGCGCTGATCTTAGATTAGCCTCACCGTCCAGCAGGGAAGACCAGCACTGTGGGGTACTTGGGAGCTGTCAGATGCCACGGGAGGTCGTTGTTCTCTCCGTCTACACGAGCAAACAGCAGGGAGGGGACGGAGCGCAGACGACGTGCCACAGTCAGATAGGCCAGACTGGCTGGCTGGCAGAATCCACAGTAGGGGGAGTAGTAAAGAACTACCACGGTTTGGGAGTTGTTGAATGCTCTCTCCACGAAGGTGGCTGTGGTCAGCTCTACAATCTGTCACATCAGGCACGGTTACAAACTCTTGACACTAGACCAATCAATTGAGTGAGTAGTGTTACCTTGTGGGCAGTTAATTATTTAGACGTACTAGCCGGTTGACGGATCGTTTCCTCAACATTAGTGAGTAGCGTTTGGGCCACTATTCATTACAAAAGTTGTTTTTCTCTTATGTAAAATTTCACAGGTACATACTAACAAATACTGCCGCCGCAGCAAACCTGCAGACTAAGCGAATTTCCATTTGCCTGATTGGATTTTCAATGAAGTCTATATAAATAACATTAGGTTCAACAAGTAAATACCTAGATATGCTGCTACAGGTAGGTAATAAAGAGTGTTTTTTTAGTATAAAATAAATAAATTTGACAATTTTGATCAAAATATATCCACAAACAAGCAAACTACAACAGTTTACTTATTCTCCATAAGAACCAGTGGGAATTTTAAATTTACAACTTTTAAAATCTTCTCCATAACCAATAATTGTAAAAAACACTTCAATATACTAAATTAAATGATTTTTAAGCTCTTTAAAGTGGTTTAAAAAGAAATTGGGAAATTTGGGAATTAGTAAAAAAAAGTGCACAGTTAGTGACACTCACCTGCACAGTAGGCAGTGTTGTGGGTTGGGGAGGTGGAGGGGGTAGTCCAGTTCGTTGGAACCTGTCTAACCTCCCCTCGGTGAAGTTGACCAGGAACTGTGACAGAGAAGCTCGAGTGATGGGTTGACTCAACAGGTGTGTCGTCTCCATCTGAACTCAAACAAACAATACTGAATGATTGAAATAACTGAAAAGGTAAGCAAGTACAATAATCAAAAAACTATATTTTCATTGCATAATTTCATAGAAATTTCAATTCTATACATAAAATTGCAATTCAATTCAGCGTCCATCAAAATACCGATGCATCGATTTAGTCTTGATGCGTCAATTTGGTCCCGATGCGTCTTGATGCAGTTTTTTTTAGATTTACAAGATGCATTTAGGCCGAAATAATAATTCAAAGCAATTTAATAATCATATGAATATATAATTCTTTCAGTACTTTACTCAAGGTGACTCATTTTGCCAAAATCACACATTTCCTTCTCAATAACAGATAAATGCCCTCACGTACCTCAGGGTTCATCAGGACAACAGCAGTGTTGCCCTTCATCGTGTCAAGCTCAACCCCCAGTCCCTTGGCGAAGTGAGAGTACAGCAATGAGTCCATGGCCAGTAGACTAATGGATTGGTTGTGTCTGTAGGCCAGGCCCCGTAGATGTGGAGACATGTCTGTAGGCGGGGGCTGTGGGGGGGCCGGGGAGTGACGACGACACAAGTCACGTCTAGACATGTCCTGTAGAGCGGCGCCTGACAACGGGTCAACCTCAGCTGCAGCGGGGCTGTGGCACAATAGACTGCTTGATTAACAGGTCTGTGACAGTGTTGAGTTAAAGTAAAATCTATCTTCTTCTTCTATATATATAAAAGGCAAAGCCCTCACTGACTGACTCACTCACTCACTCACTCATCACTAATTCTCCCACTTCCCATTTACCTAGGAGGCTGAAATTTGGTACACTGATTCTTTAGGGATTAAATAGGAAAACTAAGTTGTTTTTATTCTGATCGGACTCTCGGGCTCCGCCCCAGTGGCTCTGGAGTTTCCCATGTTAACCTTATGAGTACTCATATTTAAATGGAATTAATGAATCTTAACAGCTGTTTCAATTAGGTCTAAACAAGTTGGTTCTGTTCTATGATGTGCAATAGCATTTAAGTTACAAGGATTACCAACAGGGTGCAGCACTATTATTTTTTTTAAATTTATGACAACAGCTAATTTGCAACCAAAAGGTGAGTGAGCGTAGCGAACGAACTTCAACCTGGAGGCGAGTTAGCGTAGCGAACGAGCTAACACGAAGGCAAGTGAGCGCAGCGAACGAGCTCCAACCTAAAGGTGAGTGAGTGTAGTGAACGAACTTCAACCAGGACGTGATTGAGCCATGCGAACGAGCTCACTTATGAAGTAAAACGGGGCAAAGCCCGCGGGTACAGCTAGTAATTCATAACTCTTAAAATAAAAAAAATAATATGAACTCGTAAAATAATGTGAAACAGGAACCGAGAAACCTTTCAACACCAAACAATGTTAGACTTGTGGTTCGGATAGAAAGCTAATTATGACTAACATTCTGGCACACATATCATGACCAACTCCCATCATCACAACAATCATCTGCCATTTCCCAACCTACAATTTTGAGATGAAATTATGTTGGCAAAAGTTTTTTCCCCGTCCCAATTTTTAGGATTCCCACAGACCCTTCACTGGATATGTAGTGAGACTCACCTGAGGCACTGTGAGGCCCGCTGTGTGGCCAGCAGACATTGTCGCTTGCGTCTATCACAGCTACTGTTGGTCCACACACTCTGTGCGACCTGCACAGTGGTCGCCAGGTCTAGGGGTCGCGAGTGACACGACATTGCCGCTCTCCGCATCTGCCCCACACGTTCTGCAAACAGGTCAGAGGTCGCATAGTGATCAACTAAATAAAAAAATTATGGTAAACATACAGCACAATTGAATTAGGTCATTGATTCCTACTTCCCTTCTAGGATTCCAGTATGGCTGAATACCCTTCCTACATCAGGATCAAACTAATAATGCTAAAACTTGCAGACATTAAATAAGTTTAAGCACTAAGGAAAGTGCCAGCATTTTGAATAAAATATAATCAGATCTTTAGGACATTGTTTCAAAATCTAATGAAAATATTCAACTATTAATGAAAAAATAATAAAAAAAATTATTAATGTTGAATGTATTTAACAACACGTAAGAAATTTCCTTCGTTTAGTTTTAAGTACTTCAAGATTTCCCAGTATGGGCGTAAGATTACTAATGTACAGTAATATAATAATTTAAATGATTATTTTATCCTTGTGCTGATAAATCATTTTTTTTTTAACTAAAAGAATTTGGATGAATGGATGTTTGTTACTCAATCATGCCAGAACACCTGGATGGAATTAGTTTACTGGCTAATCTAAGTCATAGACTATAAAAATATCATTACTAACCTGTCACATACTCTGAGACATTACGGGCAAGTTCCGAAACATCAGAGTTGTTTTGAGAGTTGTAGTACTCAAGACCAACTTCTCTCAACTGAAAAATGTGAAGTTTAATTTATAAAATATGATCAAGTATAAAAATAAACGAAACTTGGGTATTATCTTTAGTTAGGTGTAAAGATTACAGTATTTACAGTAAAACATCCATTGTCTACAAATGACACAAATAGCTTAACTTTGAAATCCCTTTGAAAAAAGTCTTACACTGATTTGTGTGGTAACAAGCAGTATAAACCTGTATTAAGCGGCCTGTTTTTTGTGTGGCCTCAATTCAACTAAATCCCTATTTGATATAAAACTGGCACAGCTTGGGACATAGGAATTTAATACCTACTTTTCTTCAAAATTGTACTCTATAACCAGAGGAAGTTTAACGTCGACATAGGACAAACATAGAACATTTTCAAGCTTATGACATGGTGCAGTAACTATACCACATTATCACTCACCAAGTTGTACATAACAAAGTTGTCAGCTGGTGTGAACATGAGCAACGTTGGACTGTTGACTACGTACGGAGCCAGAGTCAGGCTCTTGACACCAGGCGGCGTCATCCACAGTGTTACCTACAAGCAAGAGATTAGAAAACCTAGTTAACAAGTTTTATTGTTACAACATTATCAGTACATTTAACAAAATATGTTAGTGAATTTGATTGCAAAATAAGCTTTCTGACCTCTTTCTGTTGTCTAAATTTCATCAACAAAGTGCTGAATAGTTTTGTTACGAAGCTATGTTATCAAAGCTTGCAACACTCATCACATTTTGTTATGCTTTAATGTTTCTTGTTTTGAATGTAAATAATTTGACTGCACAGAATGTTTTGGCAGATAAAGAAACTCGTCCCATTCCTTCCCATTTCCACCTTAGGTGCAAAGTCCGCTCAAGCTAATTTGGCCTAGAGCCGCAAGTACCCTAAATCCGTAACTAATTAGTAGGGGTGTGCGAAGCAGCAAAAAATTTTCGATTCGAAGCAACGATTCGATTCAAAAGATTTTCGATTCGATTCGATGCAACTCGATTCGAAGCAATACGGTATTTTTCTATTCATAATTGTCAATTGAGTGGATTAACAATAATTAAAATTTACCACATTTGTGTAATACAAATTTTTGTTGATGTGGTATTAGGCCTATTCATACTTAACATATGAATTTTAGGTGAAAAATATTTATTTTCAATCATAGGGATTAGAATAACCTGTATTGCTGTAAATACCAGTGAGCTGCTTTACTTGCCTATTTCATAATTTTTACTTGGAATTGGCTCAACTGCAAGAAAGAAGAAAATATTTTTTTATCAAGACATTCATTCTCATTTTAATAACTGTTTAAATAACTAAATAAGTACCGGTAGCTAAATTACAACAAATTTGAATGGAACTTAATATAAAAAGACCATTAAGAAATAAATTTACATATCACAAGTTTAGGGCCTGTGGACCGGCTTCAGGACTGCAAGCAAAGAAGAAAATAAAAATAATATGTTTCCACCATGCAATAAGTATCATTCATTCCCTGCCTCCTAACCTCCTTAGTATAATAACCTCACACTTACATTATTTGTTACATCATCATAAATAAAGAATTATCTATTATTATTGGCATCAGTAGGCCTAAAGCTTTACATAGGAATTATTTTTTATAGGGCCTAAAATAGTAATTAGTAAGCAACATGACAAGTGGAGAACTCATTGAAGAAAAGATATTGTGTAAACTAATTTACTATAATACTCAAAAACAGTAAATAACACACAAACATTGTTTATGGTATAATTAATTAAGAACTGTAAAAAATGCATATCATGTCATACAGTAGTATAGACCTACTGCAAGAGATTAAAATCCTAAAACAACTGATTTTGATAGCTAATGAATGAAAAGAATTAAAAATCCATAAAATAAAGCCAAACAATATCACAATTAATTAGGTACCCGAAAAGTAACTCTTAAATAATATATAGAAGATTAAAATAATATTAAATCACGAGTTCTAGTGCCCTTGGCAACACAGGTCTATGTTTTTAAACTACCCTCAATGTTTTTGGAACAGCAGGGTCTTTTTCTCTGAAGGAAGGGTAGTAGTATGGGTAGTATGTCAACAAAAACAATGAATCACTCTCACCAGCCAGGCCCGGGCAACTATGTGTGCATTCAAGGTCATAGACCCTCCCCCTCCCCTCTTACACCACCCGGTTGCTACCCAGTTGCTTCAATTGCTGACAAAATGCAAGTGATGAAACAAGGAAGTAGAGACAAAAAAATATTTCTTTATTCAAAAACACAAAACTGTTACAGATCATTTTCAAAGATATTAATTCATTGTAATTTGTGAGTTGTAAATATTATATTGGATCTTAGAAATATATTTTTTTAACCCCAACTAACCAAGATACAGATCTGTTCACTATATCAGATATTTCTTTTGTTTATAATTTATTATGTAAAATACTAAAATATATTTTTAATTAGGTATGGAATAAACAATAAATGATTAAACTACAGTAGTATGTCTGGATAAATAGTCTTTCTACTCTTTTGACTTTGTTTTCTTTGCACTGTTAGTGTCGCATCACGGCTTTTGTCTTGTCACTCGACGACTAGACTGGCTCTGGCTAGTGGCAGTGCGGCAATTGCTCTGTTGTGTCTTTATTCTTAAAGGTCATGAGCCAACTTAATCTTTAATTCTCATTTGAACATTTTAATTCCTCTGTAATAATAGATATAATAATATAAGAGTGTTTCTTTGGAAATAAATTATTCTTTTTTTTTTCTTTTGCCCGAAAAAAAGACCCCTAACGAAAATACCAAATGCATCAGTCTATACCATTAATCTTACTAGTTAAGTATTAAGTAACAATTTTTCAGACTTATTTTTAAAATGATTTTGGAGTAACCTATCTTGTTTTGGCTAGGTTTACAGTAGTAAAATATTTCTCACACTGCTTACATCAAGACAAAAAACAAAACCCCTCATCATTTGCAATGTCAAAACAAAAAAATATAAAACAATTAAAGCTATATTTAATGCAAAGAATGTATTAAATAAGAACGCCTTCGTAAAGGAAACGCAACAGCAACGCGCTCCTGTATTGCGGTTATTGCATTGACTTTCTGCAGGCGTTTTTCGTATATGGATACTGACTCCCTCATGAATCGAATCGTTTTTTGACCACCACTGAATCGAATCGCGATTCGATGCATCGAATCGAATCGAATCGAAATTTCGATGCATTTTCGATGCATCGCACACCCCTACTAATTAGTACGAGTTACGAGTACGAGTGGTTGCCGGATGGCGGCGATACAGAAGGTGGGGAGACTAAAAGGAGGAGGGGGTCCTCTAAATTACGCACACATGTCAGCTGCTGGTTACAACCCGCCTACAGGGTGACCCATGGTAACATGAATAAGGCTTGAATTTACATTTTTACTTACCTACCAAAATGTAGTGTTGTCAAAACATTTACACGGTAAAGGTCCATAAACTAAAACCTATAGAACAGTGTGAATTTTCCTTCATATAAAAAAAAAACTCTTACTTGGTGGTTTTTGAAAAGGTTGTCTACCACTCACCTGGTGTAGCCGTGACTGGATCCACTCGTAGATTGCGTCTGCACTGTAGTGGCCAGGATAGTCCTGTAACATATCACCACTAGAAGACCATTGTAGGCTTGTCTGAGCTTTAGCATAAGTGGCACATACAATAACAATCAAGTAAATTATAAACGAATTCAGGACAATAGCACACACAAAAAAAAGTAAAAATTAACTGATACTTTCAGATCAAATGTACCAAGTAACACAGAACACACTAAAATATTCACACCACCACATACTCGTAATGTATGGAATGAGAAAAAATATAACACTTAGGACTACACAAAATTATTCTATATGTTGTCAATTGTACTAGCTAAAAAAAAGTCTTAGACTGATCCAATACTGTCCAAGTTTAAAATTGTAAACTTAATTTAGGCTAACCCTGTTTTTTTCCGAAATGGTAAGTGAACAGGTGACACTCTACAGGTCAGATGAATATAAACAAATATCAGGAACTAAGATGAACTGACAAACCGGTTTCTATTGAAGGATAGGTATTGTTGTTAGGATAGCAAGCAAACCTGCATTAGAGAGTCTATTCAAAAGAAACACAATCACCTAACTGTAGGCCTACACATGACCGTTGTTTAGTGGTCACCTTTAATCCTGAGGTGTGATTGATCGGTCCCAAGCAGGGTCAATTCCAGAAGCTATGTTTTCATTAGCCTATCAATAAATGATGCTATCAAACAAGAGATAATTTTAAGGATTTCAACCTTCCTTCATTGAAAGTGTTATCAGTGACAGAAAAAAGTCTATCTTTAGTGAATATTTTATAAGTATTATGTGTTTCTTGTGGCGGAGTAGACTATCCCATTCAGATAAGCCGGCTAACCTAACAAAAAATGCTTAAAACCTCAGCCCTTGTGCGCTATACATCCATAACATGAGACAATGGTGGATAGAGAGAGACAAGACCAGTTTTGAGCTGTTACTAAGAAAAAATCAAAATGGCTTTGTCGAGTGATCCTTGATTTTAGTAGTACACAACTAAATAGTTTCGGAGTGCTCTAAGAGTCTATCATCAGGTAACAAAAACATTCTGGCGTCGCCACACGTTTCACTCATAATAATACTGGCCATGTTTTACAGTATTTAATATCTTTTCATATTTTGTTGTCCGTTTGTGCCGTGTGTATTCTCAATGTCGACAGATCCAGCCAAGTTGGACTCTTACAGTAGTCCCAAACTATTTAGTAGTGTACTACTAAAAACAAGGATCACTTGACAAAGCCATGTACAACTTAAACCATTTTGCTTGCATTTGGTTACTACACTAGAGGCTACTACACCATGACATTACAAAAAATTCAAACGGCTTGTTTATAACAGAATAAGTTGTAATAAGTTAATAAGTTGTAATTAGTCCGCTGTCCCTGACAGATTTTTAACCAAACAATAGCCAACATTTTGCTTCCTGACTCAAGTTTCCCTCAATTGAAAATGCTGTGAAGATGTCAGTGACAGTGAAATATTCTAATATCTAATTGTTGTATAGCTTATGTTTCTTGTGCCAGAATGGTGCCTCACCAGAGTCTCGTTCCACAAATACAGTCGGAGGTGAGGGGTCCGGTTTCCGCCCAGTTCCCTGGTCGTCCTGAAGCTTGTGACCACAGCAAACGCCACCTCCTGTGTCACCACCTTCTCCAGGTACTTGTGGGCTGTTTCGTACACAGCCCTGTACTGCGGCCCACCACGCGGCCCTCGGAAGTGTAGGAAAGCCACCACCACCGCCTATAACACAACATAATTTGTTAATGCTCACCTTCAAATTTGACGGTCGATTCCGGGAAAGATTGTTTCTGGACCCAGATGCCCTTTGTCATTGGGCTGTCGGTTAATGATGCTAACTAACAAATAGTCAAAGTTAGATAAGATGTCCAGGATTTGAATCGTTCCCTTATATATACAAAAATATAAAACATGCCAATGGTTTAAATAAACACAAAATACACATGCTTTGCTTAGTAAAGGCCATCCCACTCTCCAGTCTCTTCAACCTAAATAGACTAAGTAACTGTCAGAGAAAAGAAAACAAAAAAAGCTGCAAGTAATATTTTCATAATATAAAAACATGTAATGCTCAGTAGGATAATCAAGTGTAAGTCAAAGAAAGGTTATCGAAATCCATTAAGATTATTCACAGGTTGAAAAAGACCGTCAATATCATGCAAGAATGACAAATAGTAGTCCTGAGAATACAATGCTTCACCAGTCACAAAATTGAATAGAACTATTTGCATTTTAAATTAGGTAGGTCTATAGAGTATGTGGAATTAAAACAAGTGAAGGTATTGATGCGAGAAAATACCAACAACCAGTGCTCGATTTGTGTGGAACAGTGTTCTGGTACCTCTCTTTCGGAAAGATAAAACTATTGGCATGGGGGGGAGGGATAGTTCCAGATAGGTTACAGTTTCGGCTCCTCATTTTTAGCGAATTTCCTATATAGGGAATAAGCAGCCTATTCAACCTTTTTGGCGGGCTGGAAATAATCTGTTTGCGGGCCTATGTTTGCGGGAAGTATGTTGGAGACCCCTGCACTAGACACAACTATTCTGTGTGATTAAACTCACATTGTAGGCACTACGTAGTCTTATCAGATCCTCCATGTTCTGTATTCTGTGCAGCGGTCTGATGACGTTGTCCAGAAACCGACTCATGTATCTGAAACGGCACACACAACAGTAAATATTTTAGCTTGAAAGAGGAAATAAATTTTGATTTAACTGCTGATCTAGGGGACTCTGTTAACTCTCCTCTTTAGAAAAATTGTAGGTTTAAATATGGAATTAAACTGAAGCAAAAAATGTGTTCATATTGTGATCATTTAATTGTATAAGTTTAAAGCCTGAAATTCTAAAATTCTGAAGGTTATTCAATTTGATCTTCTACAAGGAGAAACATAACATTCTGTTTCATACAGAGTAAACTAGTAGGCCTAGACAATAGATAGCTCTAGATAGATTTATTTGATCACTAAACACCATACAATCATACAATCATGCAATAGATCATGTCAAATGCGTATAGCAAGTTAAGAAATAAAAAGATATATGCAATCAAGCTTTAGTGCTGATTATACTTTTTTAAGTCACTAGATACAAAGTGAGTAAGTTACTATGACTATCCTGATAATTAGACCAATTTGTTAATTACAAGAAAAAATGTGGTTTGGATTCCACTATAAACTGTAGGTCCCTTAGTTGCCATTGGCCGTATGGGCTATTAATTAACAGCTGTGTATATGGAACATGTCGGCCTTAGTCACTAATAAGACTACAAGTTCACGCCACTCATCGCCATACATACTTGGCTTAAAATACCTACATTCGTATGGTCGCCATTTCAAAGTAAAGTATTGAAGTATTAAACTAAAATATGCAATTTTCCTTTAGACCATAACCACCATTGTCTTTTGTAACTAAATTTATAAGAAACCCATATCAAACAAAAGACTTTGGTTTAAGTTTCACCAGCAATATAGCTTTGCTAAAGTATCGGCTAAGGAATATTTTCCAAGCCTAACTCTTCTTTAGAGTTTAAAGTATTCAAGATTTATTGTGTTTGAATCAAGCAAATTAATTCAAATTGTATTTTATTTGAATCATTGGCCATAAAAATCATAGTTTAATTTTGGATATTAGAAAATGGTTTTTATACTGAAATAGCCAATACTTCACCTGGCATCTCTGGGCCCCCTATACTCCACCCCGGTCTCATGAGTGAGGTAGGCCACCAACTTGGGAAACTGCTGTATCTTGTTGAGCGTCCGCTTGCATTCACCGCCCGGCTGCCAGCAGTTAATGGCGGCAAAATATACCTGCAACAAGAAACTAGTCAATTAATTACGTCTATTTGTGTAATTCACCACTTAGCAAAAAGATGTATAAATAGATTTATAAAAGATTGATAAAATGTTAAGAACGTGTTGTCTCTTCCTGGAAAATGATTTTTTTCATGGATACCAATTAGTTAAATCTGAACTAAAATTTGTCTAATGCCTTTTCATGATTATAGATTTAAATTTTTATGTCAGCAATGCAGTTTTTATGAGCTTCAAAAGCTTTCCTGACTGATCACTCATGGCTGGACAAACAAGGGCATAGACAAATTATTAACTATTAATCCACTTAATCGTAGACAAGTTAATGGCAAAACTGCCCACCTGTTTTTGATGCTGCAGCGCTACGTTCTCAAAGTGTCTGATCGTTTCCCGGCTCTCAGCGTCCCAAGGAGCGTAATACATGATGAAACTGACGTCCGACTCGCTGGCTCGCAATATGGCTTCTGACAGCTGACCTTTGTAGTAGTCCACCACTGGGGAGCTGCGAGAAAACATCGGAGCAGGGGGAGGAGTGGTGCCAGAGTGAGTGGATCTACACGCAAGCAATAGATAAATAAATAGATTAAAGAATTTCAAAGGCTAAGTTAACAATTTAATTAATTAGGAAGTTTCCTGTTAAAGGGAACATTCATTATTATCAATAACTTTTATGGATAGGCTATATCAATATTTTTTTGTTATTTACGAAATTTTGAAATGTTACAGCAAGTTTGGTTAGTTATGTTAATTAATAGCCCAAACAGCTAATGACAACTAAGAACCAACAGTTTATAATGGAATCCGAACCACATTTTTGCCTTGGTAATAACAAATTAGTCTAATTATCAAGACAGTACTGCAGATAGTCATAGTACTCACTAGTGCGGACGTTAATCCACACCAGGGAGTATCGCACGGCACAGTGCATCTCTATGAATATCCACAATTTGTAACCTAGTAGCTGGATTACAGCACGACGCCACCGTCCCAGTCTAGTGTTGCTAGCCTAGTGGTTAGTGTCTCTGACTTTGGTCCGATAGAGACTGATTCAGTTCCCCACAAAGCATGGGTTTAGACAGCTTTCCCAAAAAGTGTTTACAAATCACTCTCTCTTGTCTCCTATTTAAAAAATGCCAGTGACGTAGACAAGAACAAGAACAAAAGGAATTAATTCAAAAAACACAATCGGTAGGCCTACCTAAATATATACTGGTAATATATAATATCGGTAAAAGAATACAGATTTAAGTTGGGTTTATACTGGGGAGTACCATCAAGTGGTGGTAGATTTGCTGATGTGACACATTAACCTACTTATTTAGTACGGTAGCAGAGCTGATAGCGCTTATGATTTAGAGTATAGCAGTAGAAATGCAAGATTCTACACCTAACTTAGATAGTTAGAGCCTTAATAGTAACAACAATTAGTAACATATAATAGAAATAGTACAGTATCATAAAAAAAAACTACGGAAAGTAAATAAAAGAAACGTCTTATAACACTTAAAACATATATTTACGCTTATACTGTTACTCACAAGACGGTAAATATACAAAACAGATGGTAAGTGGTGATCGATTTCGATTGGACACTCCAATCATCATCAGACCCAATAGGCGAATGACAAGAATCTTAATGGCGTCCCTAATTATACCCTATTGGCTACCGGAAGCACCGGCCAATACATTTTTATAAGTACAACTGGAATCAAAATGTATTTGTTCATTAATCAACTTATTTCTATTTAAAAAAAAAAACTGAAGAAGAACTAAAGCTCCAGGGTAGCCTATTATTTTGAGATATTAAAGATATTTACAGATTGTGTTCCTGAAGAAAAGTCTTTATTATAGGTACATCAGGGATGGTTTGGTACCATACATAATACATTTAAGAAGGCTCTTAAGTTAACTTATTTTTTGCTCTTTTTAATTCTTCTGATAACTTAGCTGACCACTACTAGGAAAAGGTACTATTATTATAGGTCGTTCAATTTAAGTGCCTCTCTGTCAGTTAAGACACCGATGAAACAAACGTAACTACACGCCTCTAACGGGCACACAAGCCTGCTCCAAACTGGTGTGAACAACTTACAAAATACATAAAACTCAGTTTTTGACTATGTAAGTTTAGCCTATAACTTCAATCAAATTTAAAAAAGGCTATAAGTTAAGTAGAACCAACAGACTAACCTAACGGAATGTTTTACAGTATACACAGTGAATCGGTGTGATAACCTAAATTCTTAACATTTGAAACCTATGCTTGTCCTTAGGCATGCAAATTATTCTAATGTTTAACTTACTTTACAGTAAAGTAAAGCTTTCTCTTTGAATGGAAAAAATGAGGATAATATTTGAAGTTAACTTAATTCAAGGGCAAGGCCTAAGAATTGCCTCACAGCTGAGAATAAAAACACAAAAAATACAACATTCAATTTTTAAATTACCCAACATTATTGCCATTTTGGTAATTATTTCGTGAAATTTCCATGGTGTTTTGATTGCCAAGTAGGTCTGTGTTCTAGCCTAATTTTAAGTAGCCCTAGATCTAGGATATTTGGTATGTTATGATGGGTCCTAAAAATAATATTAACACCTAAGATACGTACGAGTTGAGTGAGGCATAGGCAGTGAAAATAATCAGCATCAAGAAACATAATTCTCTTCCGATGCATAGCATTTTGTTGAAACTCTGGATGTGTTTTGATGGGCCACGTAAATTGACATCGTCGTTTTCATCCAGATTGGGAGATAGGGACATAGCTCCACGTCATAGGAAAGTTTCAGGGTCGATCTCCTATTTGTATCATGATCTAAAATCAAGAATAACACTAAATATAGCACCTATAACCAAATAAGACAAGCATTTAAAAGGCTTTAACATGACGTAGTTGATCCAATAATTAAGTTCTAAGCAGACAAGTTGTTTGGTTGAAGAGATAACCTCCTCAAAAACGAAACGAACTGTTTTGACTTCTTGTTCTTCGACAGCCAGGTAGCAATAATCGTCATCATCGTCGATTTTGCTGAACAGCTGATCTTCTTTGTATTCAGGTTCACCAACTTATAAACTTGAGGGTGATAATACCGATAATACTATAATCCATATAGTTCTTTAAACAATTCCCCTACATTTTCAAGCAATGATTTTTGTATTGTAGCTGTTATATTATAAAATTATGTAATCATTTTAAGGATAACTTTAATTTAAAGTGTCTGCTTCCAGCCAGGGTGAATAGTTTGCTCGCCTCATAATCAAAAGGTCGCCTGTTCGATCTTGAGAAAAGTGTGGAGCTTGTTTAATGGTTCGTAACTGGACCCAGCTGTCCTTGATCATTGGGCTTTTAATAAATGGTCCTGGCTAATGGAACAGCTGAACTTAGTCATTAAGGGCCGCTTTCCCCAAATCAAGTTTAACTCTGATCGTGGTTTAAACTCTATTTTAACCTCAGATTCACTTTCCCCAAAATAATTTCTCCGTTTAAACTAGGTTTAAGTTAACCCTAGGGGTGAGGCTGGTTTAACTGGCGATCCGTGGGTTAACCCAGGAGAGAAGAATAATAGCTTGATTTTGATTGGCTCTTGCCTGACTTGTTACGTTCGGCAGACGGCAATGGCAAATATCATTGTTTGACATTTGTTAAACATAACCTAAAATAAATTGAACTGGAAATAAATTAAGAAATAACAAACCAGAACCTATGTAGACAATTAATTCATGACTATTTTAAATTTAAAGATATAAGGCTACAGATATACAGTAATGGTTTTAAGGTTTTTAAATGCGTAGAGTAGGCCTAAATTATTATATTTTCGGTAGGTAGTATCGTAGTTGTGTACAATCGATAGGTTACCTTGTCCACAGCAACGAAAAATTGGGTGGAAAGTTTGCTCATAAAAAGCCTTTTGGTTTGAAATTAAATTTAGTTTAGAAACATCGAACGTGTCTAATGCTGAGTAGCCTAGGCCTGCCATTACAAAGGATAGGCTCTAGTTTTTAATCCACAAACATTAATTTCGCGTCTTTCCCAACATTTTATTTTCCCATGAGTGTAAATGCTTTTATTTGATGCGTACAGTAGGCCTACTGTTTAATTAAGTTTGAGCTTAAATAAACACAATAAATGAAATGCTTATAAATTAGCATCAGTACAATTTATTAGCCTGCAAATAAAAATGTTTCTTCAATGTCAACAATTGGAGATAATGGCACGACACCTAATACAAATAACCAAAACACGAGAAAATTAATGACAGATATGTCATAGTGGGAAGTTAAACAGCTAATATTGCAGACAAAATTGCATAACAGTGTTGCCAACATTGTTGCTTGCAAAGAAAAGCTAGGTTAAACTAAACTTTCATGACAAAATAGTGGGGAAAGCCATCCTAAGTTTAACCCACAAATTAAAGTTAACCGAGATTAAGTTAAACTTGATTTGGGGAAAGCGGCCCTTACAAAGCTACACGGCTCAACTTACACAATTCTAACTCATTCTTCACTCTCTAGGTGGCGTTCCCCATCTCAATTGATGATGATAATCTTATCTTACTAATATTATAAATGTGAAAGTTTGTGTGTTTGTTTGTTTGTTTGTTTGTTTGAAGTTCAATCACGCATAAACCACTGGACGGATTGGGCTGAAATTTGGCATGATGATAGCTTACATTCCCGATTAACATATAGGCATATTCTTATCTCAAAAATCCTTTCGGGCTCCGCCCCAGTGGCTCTGTAATTCCCCATGTTAACCTTATAAGTATTCATATTTAAAGGGAATTAAAGAATTTAGTCAGCTGTTTCAACTAAAAAAGTTGGTTCTATGATATGGAAAAGCATTAAAAAGTTATAAGATTTACCAACGGGGTGCAGTACTATATTTTTTTTGCATTTATGAAAACAGCTAATTTGAACTAAGCAGCAACAAAAAACTGTGATTCGCAATGAGAACTGTCAAAGTAGGATTGTTTACAGTTATGTTTATGTTTTTCATTTCACGAATAATTTGTGATATTTTGCGAATTGATAATTTATTTTTCTCTATTGTTTGGTGAAATGGTAGAACATTATGGCTATGGTAGATGTGTAATACTATAGAATACTGTAAATTTAAAAAAGCAAATTTTATCAAACTGTGTCCTCCACCCATTGCAATCGCAAAGCTTAAGTATAACTGCAATAAGCATTTTATACTTATATTCCAACCCCGTACGAAGGACGGGTACTCTGCTAGTACTTAATACTTTTTGGATTCTACGTTTTTTTTTAGGTATTGTCGGTGCCAGTTGCGTTTTTTACCGTGGTGTCAATGTACAGTGTACGTACAGTACAGAGTACTATAAATAACGCTTGTTAGTTAAGGGGATTCGCCACTGAAAAGGGTGATTTTTTTTTATTAAATTAGGAAAGTCGTGAAACTATTTTTTTTTCTAGTAGGGTATAATTTAACAAAAAATAGAAAAATTTTGGTTTACTTCTAAATATAAATTATAGGTGGTAAAAAAATAAAATAGAGGTTTTCCGGTCAATTTGTAGGGGTTTTTAAAAATCGATATTCTGAAGAGAGTTCTTCATGGATTCTGATCAATTTGGTGCTTTTTTAAAGACAGTTATCTAAACCTAATATGTAGGTAGGTTCTTAATAATATCTCTGTTACATATTAAATAAAAGATTGGTAAAATAAAATAGGTGTATTCTGAATTGAATCCTAAATAACAATGATTGTAAACAAAAACAAAGTTAACTTATCTATACTATTATATAAAAATCTAATGGTGTCTGTCTGTATGTGTATTACTAATATCTATACTATTATATAAAAATCTAATGGTGTCTGTCTGTATGTGTATTACTAATAGGTGCAAGAACTACTGAACCCACTGGGCTTAAATTTTACAAAAATATAGCTACTATACCAAGGACCATTATAGGACTATTCACACTTCGATACTGACCGTGGACTTTGCCCCTTTGGCTTTAAAAGTTCTGTGGTGAGGATTTTAAAAGTAAATATTGATTGGTCTCCATGGCTGCAATGGGAATACCCACAATATTTACATTTGCCTTGGCATTTCAATGTAAACAAGAACAAACTGCCAAATTGCATATCTCACAATTTAAGACAGCTGATCCAATGAAATAAAATATAATATTTCACATAGTTATGTGGTTGGTTTATTTAATCTAAAAGTTTATCAAAGGCCATTTATTCAAAAACTATGTCAATGATTATAGAAATAAAAAAAAATTCTAAAAGCGTTGCTCTATCAACTCAGGCCCTGCTTTCAATTTTTAAAGTGTCTTAAGTGTTATGAAAATAATGTTATTGATATATTTTCATGGAAACAGTAAGAAAATTACAATGTATAGATGTTTTGTATGAATTTGGAGGCTACTTGAAATAAATTCGAACTGCTTAACATGTGTTAGATTAACTTAACATAACTTGCACATCACATTGTTTTTTTATATGTATATTTAGGTAAATTTAGTTATTGTGTTTTGCTAAACCTATGCTTAAATTAAACTAAAGCATATCATCAATAACTAAATTGTACGTCGATTTTTGTGTTCTAAAATCTGTTGTATATGTGTATACAACAGTGTATACATATAGGCCTAATATTTAATTATCAAATGGTAATACAAAATACTCTTATTTTATCTTAACATAGCTTTAAGTTCACATTTACTTTATTTGATAAATTTATTATTTGGGTATTGCCACACCACTGATTAAATTAAACCAAGGAAAATATCATAAAACTAAGCAGTACACAGTGTTCTTTTGTTTCTAAAATCATTGAAATATCTGTTGCTATGTTTACTTAATAGTAAGTGTGAAAATATAAAGGCAATGGACGATGGAACTGATTAAAAGAACTGGTTTGTATAAGTTGTTTGTTGATATTTTTGTAGAGTAGAATCAGAGATGCAATGAAACATATACTGTATTTGCTATTACATTTTTTGGTCCTCGACGCTTTGATAATCATATTAGTTTTGTCTGCTGTCCTTAATGCTAAATTATTTGTTTAAAATTTGTTATAGTATAGATATAGTTTCTTTAATATTTTCAAAAGACTATTGATAAGGCACAACAATATTTCTAAAGCTTATAACAGCTGACTTAGTTTTGCTAATGATTTATTGTGAGTGAAGAAACTGAAGATGGAAGGATTTGTGATTTAATATGAAGAAGAGTGAAATTAAAAAAAAATGTTCATTTAAATTAATTGGTATTTTTGCATATTCAAAATTGAAATTTAAAATGTCAAAAATAAAGAAAAAAGATATGTAATTAAGGGAGATGAAGGTAAATCATGTATGTGAAAGTTTTATTCGAAGTCAGTGTTTCGCATATCAGCCTACACAATATTTAAAATTAATCAAAACCAAAATGGTGGTATCCACTACTTACCAGATTTAAAAGTCATAACTTAAACTTTTCTATTAAGGCCATAAAAGTTGAATTTTGTTTCTAAAAGCGTTGGCGGATATGTAACTATTATATGCAACAGATGTAAAGATTAAAATGTTACTATTTTGTGTCCTCTTCCCGTTGCAAAGCACGGGTACAACAGCTAGTTAAACATAACATATGGTATTTTGTTAAACATACAGTATGTTAGAAAAGACACATCAATTTTCCCCCTTTAAAGTCTTGATCGCAGCATTTGATCTACATGTCGTCTGCATGTTACTCCGTTCTCCAGTTCAACGTTGTAATGTAGATTTCCATCTCTTGATGTAACTTTTCCGAAACTCCATTTTGTCTGACCCTTGTAGTAGTTTCTCACTTGAACACGGTCTCCCACCTTAAATATGCGTGTTATACCTTTAGGTTTGTCTTTTGAGTCCTCGATTCTAGAAGGTATCATAACACTGAGGTATGTTCTTACTTGTCTGTTGAACATGAGATAGTATGCCGAGTTTCCTGTTGAGTTTGGTACTTGACGGAGTTGAATTAACGCCTTGTGAATTTTACTGTCAAGTGTTCCTGGTTCATCTAATATCGACTTCAACATCTTCTTCACTGTTTGTACAAAGCGTTCAGCTTGTCCATTAGATGATGGGTGGAACGGAGCAGTCGTTTTGTGTCGAGTTCCACATGACTTAAGAAACTCTTGAAAAGTAAGAGAAGTGAAACTTCGTCCATTGTCTGAAATTAGGAGGCTTGGAAGACCAAAAGTACTAAAAAGTTTCTTCAACTCCTTAATAGTCCAATCGGTAGTTGCTGTTTTTGTGGGTATTACCTCTACCCATTTGGAGAAGGCATCAACAACAATGAAAAATTGTTGTCCATTTGTTGGGCCCATGAAATCAATATGTATTCTCTCCCATGGCTGAGTTGCTGGTTCCCAAGGATGGTTGATCTCTTTCGTTGGAGAATTTTGTTTCTCACGACAAGGCTTGCAAACAGCAATCATGTTTTCAATGTCTTTATCCATTCCTCTCCAAAAGCAGTAACTTCTTGCCAAAGCTTTGGTTTTTACTATACCAATGTGCCCGTAGTGTAGTTCATTGAGAATTCTTTTCTTGAGGGAATTTGGGATGATTACTTTCCACCCTTTGAAGAGGCATCCTTCATGTAATGTAACTTCATTATCGTGAAATCCCAATGGCTCTAATGATTGACCTTCCTCAAGAGCCTCAAGAATTTGTTTTAGATATGCGTCCTTCTTAGTTTCTTCGGCTAGTTCTTTGGGATTGATAGTTATGGTGTTCAATTGGTTTGTTTGAAAATGTCCAAATTGGTCAATACTTGTAAATTTTGAATCTTCCACAGGAAATCTTGAGAGGAAATCTGCATTCCCATGGTCACCAGTTCTCTTGAATTCAATTGTGTAGTTAAATCCTGATAAAAAATGGGAGTAGTTGAATAGTCGCGTAGCTGACATTGACGGTAGGCTCTTGTTGGGATCGAAGATTGACACTAATGGTTTATGGTCCGTGATGAGTGTGAAATGACGTCCGTAGCAATAAGAAAAACAATTCTTCAACCCCCAGTATATACCTGTGGCTTCTTTATCGATTTGGTTGTAATGTTTTTCAGCATTGGTCAATGATCTTGAAGCAAAAGCTATAGGCTTTTCACTTCCATCTGGGAAACGATGTGATATCACTGCTCCAAGTCCCACAGGTGAAGCGTCAGTTGCAAGGATCAATGGCAGGTCTGGGTTAAAGTGGCAAAGAACTGTGTCACTTGTTATTCTTTTCTTGATGTTTTGGAAACTTTCTTCACACTTACTGTCCCATATGAATGACTGCCCTTTTTTTAGAAGTCTATGTAAAGGATTTAAAACAGTGGACAAATTCTTTACAAACCGGTTGTAGTAATTAACAAGCCCTAGGAATGATCGGAGTTCCTGTATGTTTTGACTTTTGAGGCCTTCGTGCATTTGTAATTGCTGTGATTTTATCCTTACTTTTGTGGATTCCAGTGGCGTCAATAACATGTCCTAAGTATTCAATTTTCTTTTGAAAAAATTTGCACTTGTCACGGTTCAACTTCAAATTTTGACTCCTTAAACGCTCAAACACTTGCTTTAGTCTTTCTAGTAGTTCTTTTGATGACGTTCCTTGAATTATTATATCGTCGAAGAAGCACTGAACACCTTGAAGGTCTTGAAGGATTCCGTCCATCACCTTTTGCCAAACTCCTGGAGCAACTTTTACACCAAACATCAGTCTGTTAACTATGTATTGTCCTTTATGAGTGCTCAAAGTTTGAATTTCTGCACTCTCAGCATCCATTTCCAAGTGGAGATAAGCGTTACTTAAATCCAAAGTACAGAACAACTGTCCTCCATTCATTTGAGCAAAAATGTCTTCGATCCGAGGTATTGGATGATGTTCTTCTTTGATTTGTTTATTTACTGTAACCTTGTAATCAGCACATATTCGTATGTTACCATTAGGCTTTACTACAGGTACAATTGGAGTACCCCAATCGGACTTGTCTGTTTTGGAAATGATTCCAGCTTCTTCCAGACGATTCAACTCGATTTCTACTTTTTCAGTTAATGCATATGGGACTGGACGAGCCTTCACAAAAATAGGTCTTGCCCCTTCAACAAGCTGTAAGTGTGCTTTTTTGTGAGGTATGAGTCCTACTCCTGGTTCAAATAATTCCTTGAATTCATCCAAAAGATCTTCGAGTGCAGTAGATGTAGTATTGTTACTAACTGTTTTAAGTTCTGCCCAATCCAGTTTGACCTCTCTAATCCATTCTCTTCCGAAAATTGCATCGAAATTTTGGTTCACTATGTAGAGTTTCCCAACAAACACCTGATCATTGTAAGTGCATTCTACAAAGACGACACCCCGGGGTTTGATTATTTCGCTTGAGTATGTCCTTAGTTCAATGTTTGTGTGGAAAATCTTTTTATTTATGTTGAGACTTTTGAAGGTAGAGTATGGTAGAATACTTATTGCTGCTCCAGTATCTAACTCCATCCGCACAGGTTTACCTTCAATAAGTATCTCGACCATAAACTTGTCATTACCGGCACTCTGGTTGTGTATCTTAAAAACCTCTTGTTTCTCTTCCTTATAATAGTCTATAGTATTGTCAGTTTCGGTACAATGAATTTCTGTTTGTTTTGTGCCTAAACATACGCTAGCAATATGCCCTTGTTTGTTGCATTTCTTACATATTTCTCCGATAAATTTACACTGATGTGCCCTGTGTCTAGGTGATCCACAACGATAGCATTTACCTTTGAGGCGTTCAAATGGAGACTTTAACTTTTTGTTCCAAGTAGGAGAAAAATGGGGTGGTTTTGTTCCTGTACCTGCTATCTTGTTGATTTTCTCATTTGAATGAATGTTTTCTTCTACTATATAGCTTTCGTTCTTTGCCAATTCCATGATGGAGGCAAGTTTCACTACATCTTGAAACGATGAAGCAGATCTTTCTTGTAATAATTTTGTTCTTATGTCTGAATTGCTAATACCTCTTATAAACTGCATGCGTAGTAATGTGTTTGCAATTGATTTCCCACAATTATTACAGTTGAAGTCACAGTCTGAAGATAACTTTTGAAGCTCAACGGAATATATTTTTACGGTGTCTTCAGATTCTTGTGTTCTTGTCATAAATTTGTGTTGTAAGGCCCAAGTACTAGGTTTAGGGTCAACATAATCAGCCAAAAGACTTACTAATTCAGCATCTGTTTTATCCAAAGGACTTTCGGGAGCGCACAAATCATACAGCTTCTGATGTAAATGTGGGGTTAAGGCATGTAGCATTGTGTACACTTGATCCTTTGGTTCCAATTCTTGGCTATGTAGATATAGAAATATCTCAAATCGACGAATGAAGTTCTTGAATGATTCATTTTCCTGATATGGTGTGAAAATCATTGAGGAAGTAGTGGATCGACGTTGTGGAGTAGACAAATTTGATGTACTAGGCACAATATTTTGAGTGTTCACTTGTAGTTCTGCAAGCTGTCCCATACGTTTTTGTAACTCATCCATTACCTTGTAATATTTGTCCTCCATTTCTACTCTGTAATCTATTTCTTTCTCAATTTCAGCTTCTTCAGTTTTGTCTTCTATTAATTGTTGTACAGAATTAAATCTTTCCTAATAATCTTCAATTGTTGTTATCCTGGTTTTGATTACTTCTTTTGACATGTTTTGTAGGTTTGCTAGCCATCTTTCAGCCTTAGACAACTGACCCTTCACTACTACTCTAATCTTCTTTAAATCAGCCAAACTTTCAGTGTAACTTAGGTCACTCATATTAAAAAATAAATTGTAATAAATAGAATGTAAAAAAAAAATTAAAAACTGGTTTTCCTCGTCGCCAAACTGTTACATATTAAATAAAAGATTGGTAAAATAAAATAGGTGTATTCTGAATTGAATCCTAAATAACAATGATTGTAAACAAAAACAAAGTTAACTTATTAAACATAACATATGGTATTTTGTTAAACATACAGTATGTTAGAAAAGACACATCAATCTCAGATACTTTTTTAGTTGTGACATATTAAATATAATTTTTCTTTAGAAAAAGGTTTAAAAAAATATATGTTTTTAGTACCTAATTAACTTAGATACCTAATTCTACCTAAATATTTTCCTAATATTGTCTAGAATAATTGGTAAAAATTTCATTATTGTAACTTTAGTGGCTCTCAAGATATATCAAATTTTGTCTTGAAAAACGTAAAATTTCAATGTTGCGGAAAACCGCGTTTGAATAAGAAGGTGTGTCCTATGATCTTGTAGCTATCGTAAAGAGCGAAACCCGTTGGTTATAACATATAATAACATTCAGACATGTATTATATCATACTTTTTGGATGTAATAGGGTCCAATGTACAAAGAAATGAAAAACAATATTTTTTTTTATTTTCATGATTTTTACCTATTTTCAGTGGCAAATCCCCAAACTAAGAACTAAGAGAAAACCCTTAACTAAAGTGCCTTACATTTGATAACGTCGGCGCCTCGGCGGTAAAGAGATGACGTGTTTAGAGAAAACAGTGTGGTTTTACTTCTACTAAAAGACAGGTTGTTGGTTGTTAAAAATAATGTTTCTATTCTATGCATTAAAATAACACTGAGGAGTTGAGTAGCTACATGATGTTTTATGGCCATAAGACCATACACCGTATTTAGAGCAGATAATGAAGACGACGGGTAAGGCATAATATTAATTGTTTGACAAAAACAAAAACCAAAAATGATGAGAGATGAAATATCCTAGAAAGCTGTACATGTCGTTGGATTGGGTCATTTGAGCTGTACCGTAGCATACATGATGCGTGATGTTTTATTCAGCATTGCCTCCATGATTGATTTGTGAAAATATAAAATATGTTTACGCACATTTGTCGAAATAATATTGTTTTATTTTAAGGCATCTCGTCAAAAGCTATTTATAAATAAACAAAAAGAGAACGAAATGTCCTTTAAGTCCTCGTCCCACCTCTGGTACAGTGGTACACTCCACCTAGGAATTATCCAAAGCTAACTAATTTAACCAATGAACCGTTGGTTAATGTTGAATAAATTACGGACTTAAAGTGGGGCTTGGTAAATGGTGTAAACTTACTTAAGTAAAGATTTTTTAGTAAATAAGATGCAAAGAAATTATTTTTTGCATACACATTAATGCATCCAAGCGAATGACTAGATTAATATTATTTTAGCTGATTAGGTTAGCCAGTTCATACAGTAAAATATTTCGCATACAAACTCAATTTTATTTGATTTTTATTATAAAAATGAATTAATAAGTTATACTTAAAAAAAACTTCAAATGCAATAGTTGAATAAATTACAGTATGAGTATTTCGACTATTTCAAAAACGGGGGATATTATTATCTATGTACTTCTACTTCCTTCAATTTTTTATATCTTGCTCAACCAAAACTGTTTGACATATTCATAGCTTGATAAATTTTAAATCTAGTTAGGCTATAAATAAATTTACTTTATATGGACTGTATCATCAATCCTTTACAATAATTAACTATACGACTCGACGTTGGGCTGCCAACTCACTATATTCCCAATTACAACTCTCGTGTACCTCTTTACTAGGGTGTTCTGCATTCATTACAACATTCCTCACTCGACGGGCGGAAGCATAAAACAGATAAGACGGAGCGCCCGTGTTATTGACCTCCACGGTGCGGCGGCGCAGTAAACGAGAGATATCAATGCGCATGCGTAGACGACGCAGAGTCAGGGCGCGAACTGGTTGCGGAGAACAACTCATTGTAGAGAGCTGTTCACTCACGCATAACGTGATTTAGAAAAAAAACACATTTAGGCCTAGTTTTCTTTTCCAGCCTCTTTAATCCGAACCCCCATAATCCGAACGTCCACTAATCCGAATGCCTATTGATGAATGTTACTGTATTTATTGATATACGCGCCGTAATTGTTTTATTGTAATGCGCATTACTGTTTATTCACTATGTTTACTACTGTATTAAATAGGCATTGACACTATATTTTACTTTATAAAGCTGTTTTTCAGTATTACCGTAAAATTTACGATCCATTTTGGCCACGAGTTAGCTATTGTTATGTAAAAACAACATGTTCTGTAACCCAAACTATTCAATTACTCAATAGTCCGAACCTCCGAACTACCCCAGGTCCCATTTAGTTCGGATTGAAGAGGTTCTACTATCCATCCCTAAAGCAAAAATCTGCTGAGGACATCAGATGAACCGTACATTCTTCTATCTTTGAAATTATGTGTCAGCTGATTTTTCATATGAAAACAGTTCCGGTAAATATAGAGTACATAAAATATCGTATCAAATTCACCTACGTCGTTAGACCCCGTGTTGAAAATAGTCGATTTGGGGCTAGAAATTATGTTTACTATTTCAATAGCCTACTATGTGTACGACACGACCCTACAATTAACTTAACAAGGCATCTAAAAAACCCCCTCTAGTGCCGTGGATAATAGGCAACCCTGAAATTGAACGTCTATTTTGGTCTACTCAGTAAAAATCCAAAGCAGGATCGACTCCCAGCAAAAGACCGACTCACCAGTGAGCGACTCCCGTCCCGCGGCTAGGCGCGTGCGCTGTTGGTCAGTCAGCCCAGTACGCCTGCGTAGTGTAGTCGTGCCGATAGTTCCGTGAGTGCCCACCGCACGCGATAGCGCTAGTGTCTGTTATTGTTATTTGTTACTGTCCATTGTCTGGCCAACTACCCGCTACCGATACCGATGTTTTTACCGGCTGTGTACCTTCTGAAGGATGTAGTGTTTAGTGATCTGTGACTTCCCGAGTCTGTGGAACTGATTAAAGGTGAGTTCCTAATGAGCACTGTTATACGGCGTTTTACTAATTTAGTAAAAAAAAAAATCCTCTTTACGGACAGCGTCCAATTAAAAACTAGGTGTTCTGATAGCTTGCTATTTTGCACAGCTTATAAATTAATGTTCATGAGCAATACCTTAGTTTTTGAAAGATGTAAATAGGGCTTCTACACATAAAGACTTATTTGCTACTTTGCTGCCTCAGTTATTGATTGCTATACAGTATAATACCAAAAAACCTACTCATGTTTAATGTGGAAGAGGAGTGTTTAACCAATAATATGATAACATTGTTGCTATTTAATATCAGCTCTGGCTCTTTTGTTGGGGCAATCACAACTAACTTGCTAGTTCTGTTTACCTTTGCTATTTATCACCTAAAAATCAAAAGGTCGCCGGTTCGATCCCGAGAAAGGTCAATCACTTTTTGGTTCCATCTCAATGAATGATAAATTGCTAGGGGTTCCCTGAAACATCCCTTTTAGCTGTCCTACTTAACCAATTTCCACGAAGGTGTCGTTTAGCTTATGATCCAGAGCACCTTGCAAATGGTAGCTACAGAAAAAGGTAATTTCCTTTAGGGCTTAGTCCTCTAACGTTTCTATTGTTTATAGAGCTCACTTTGAAAGATCCAGTGTTGCAATTTTTTTATAGCACCTCACGGTTCAAATATGAATTAATCTAACAGCTGATCCTCCAGTTTAATGTTTAACCAGAGTCAGATTGTAAACAAGAGACAGACGAAATAGTTTACGACAATTGGCTAATTTTGTGAAAATTGCAACCTGACTGATGTAGGTAAATCACTCTTCAGTCTTGAAGGTGTGGATCTACAGTAGGTCTTTAGGCAGTAAAAGGGTATTGTATTATACGAAAACGGCATAAGACAGATTATTTGCTTAAGTTTTGAACCAAGGGAACAATATTATCCAAGGTTGTAAAACCGAGAATACAGACTAGGTTCCTCCATTAGGATTAAGCAAAATTTTTAAGTAACATGTATAGGTAACGTTGTTATTTGATATTTTAAAGAGTAAATTCTGCACGCACGGACAATAAATATATACAGTATAAATATGAAGATATAAGGCAAAAGCAAAGGGTTTCTATACAGATCTTTAAAATGTGCTACTGGACAGTAGTATTCTAGGAGAATTGCAGAAACAACCTGGCGTACCTCGAGCTACACAGGAGGATTAAACATTAATGTTAATTAATGTTTAAGGATTAAAGATTAATGTTAATCCTCCTGGACCTCGAGCCGCCGGCAAAGCAACCTCAACCTTCAAAGGAAGCTGGAGCACCAGCGCCGCGTCCTTCAGAAATGTCAGCTCTTGTCTCACACACAAGCCATGTCTAGAGCATTTGACTATCAATACTGTACAATAGTCAATGCTAGAGCTCATGCGAGGCTCAGTTTGAGGTAGTACTATCCAACAGCAAGTCAAGTCAAATAATCACGTTGCAATAAATCCTTTTTGAAACCCTATTTTTTCATTATCATAGTTATCAATTAAGATGGGGTCGCCACCTAGGTGCATATCTTAACCCAAATAAGGGAAGGGAGTGTTTAAAGAAGTGAGATGCCTTGTAAAGCTTTGTTGCTGACTAAGAACATCTGTTTCTATAGCCAGAATCAGTTATTAAAAGCCCAATGATCAGGGACATCTGGGTCCAGTTTCGAGCCATCAAAAGCTACTGACTTTTCTCGTGGCCAGACCGGTTACCTTTGTTTACCAGGCCACTCACTTAGTTGTTACTTTAAACACTCAGCTATCCAGGTTTTTTTAAAGTCGAGGCAATACCACTGGACATACGATTGTAGAAGCAGTCAGCCTCGGTGATGATGCTATCACTACTATTTTGATAAGAAGTGATGGGAAAATAAGTTTACCACCCATAAAGGTACTTTAGACTTATCTAATGGACATTACAAAATTTTACATCAATCACTGACACAGGACCAATATATTTGGGATTACATTCCAAGTAGTTGGTAACTTACACTAAATACACTGGATATATATGTCACGCGGAAGTCCTCGGATTGATTTCCTCCGTGTTTACAGTTCCATCTGCCGCGTTTCCTCGTAGAAAGCTCGCCAATTAGATTGTTCCGAGGTGTTGGAAGTGATGATTGAAGGAAGTAGACGACCGTTCCAGCCCGCGGCCAGCGTTCGCGTGTCTCGCACTGGGTGTCCGGAAATGAACCGGCCTAGCTAATCTGTGACATCCTGACAAATTTTCAAAATACTTGTAAATATAAAGCTAAAAATATGTTTCAAGAGTCGAATATTGGTTTTTGTGTATATCTTTATGTGTGCGTGGACCACAGCCATCAGCATGTCACAATCTTCTGTTGGCTTGGCAACGACCGTAGTGTTTCACAAACGGATTTTTTTACTGGTTTTATTTTCAAAGACTGCGTTATTGTGATTATGGAGATATCGTGTGTTATAAGTAACATGAACAGTTCCTTTTAACTGTTTTGTTAGGCACCTTCCGGATTACCGTGGAATACTATGGGTACAGTTTATTTAAACCACATTGCTAAACACCATTAGTGTGTCACCATATCGTGTATCATACGCCAGAATAATTACAGTGACAGTCGTAATTCATTCAGTGCTAAATAATAGATATCAGTGATACAAAGTCATACCTGTGACTATAATTGTCAATGGCCATACTTAGTGTAAATACTAAAAATACTGCTTCGTCGAGGATTATTATGACATTGCAAACAAATTTTCGTCATACTGCAGCGTAAACAGCTGTTTCTAATGCATGCGTCTCGGATCTAAAGTAGCATAGGGAGTAAAAATCGTGCAGTAATGTGAAATCACCTGTTTTCGCTTATGTTCACCTGCGAAAATTCATCATTACATTGATTACGAAGAGAAAAAAATGTTCACTATGCAAAAGTTTTTGAATATGCAATGACCCATTTTGTACTAATTGTTATGAAATGTACTATTTATCGTGTTTAAGCAACAGGTATATAAAAATAAAAATAACAACAATGCACAATCGAAATGAACGTGTGAGGGAATATGAAAAAAATCTATGTTAATCTGTTAGGCATATAATGGGATTTATATGCCTATATCAAATATGCCTATATATGCCTTTATGCATGAAATATATGCCTATATATCAAACTGTGTTGGGTCCCAGAGTGGTTACAGTGCTTACCTTATAATCTGACCTACCAAAGTTGCTGGTTCTATCCAGACTAAGATCGATTCTGGACTCATCTCATTTGTCACATGCAACTAATTAATGAAGCTTTCCTAAATGGACATGCGATACATGGCGACTTTTGCATAGTCATACAGTATTTTTAGTTACAGCGGAATTCCACAGTCACCACACAGTTCTTGTTAAGTATAATTTTTATTTACTTTGCCATTTGTCTGTCTCCAAGACAAATGTTTTAAAATTAACATATTTTTGTCTCTGGTCTGGCTCTAACTTTTGTTTTGGGTTTTTGAATATTAACATGTGCTTTTGTATTTTTGTTGGTTATAGTGTTCAGTGTTGATGTTGAAGAATATAAACTATTGTAAATTATTTTTGTTCTTGATTATTTAGTGATTTTTCTCTCTATACAGTACAAAGTTTTCCTCTCATTTCACTAACTTCAAGACACGTCAAGATTCACAAAGAAGACAATAGTTCAAGGTAAATTAATTCTCTTACTTAACAAATATCATAAAGGCACTACTCAAGCCTGATGCTAAATTTTATTCTAACCTCTCTGATTCTCTTCTCTCTAATCATTTCAGTTCTGAAATCTGAACTACCCGTGTGTGTTTACATAACCTAATATCATTTTCAGACTCACTTTTCCACGGAGATGAGTTTGAAAGTCGTGTGACGTGCAGTAACCACAGTAGCTGTTACAATTAGGCTTCGAGCATTCTCTCTCTCTCACACGCATGCCTGGATATCAGCGCTGTAACGCCTTCTCAGCCAACTTATTATCACTACCTAAGAGGGGTTTTCCGCAATTCAAGGTCTTCAAAGAGCCCCCGTCACGGCTAGGTTAACTGTTCAAATCTCACTCAGCGAAACGTCATGTTCATTACTTCATCCATCCACTACAAATCTTGCAGGCCTATTATACAGATCATCCCCCCTAAGCGACAACATTTTTCACGTAGTTGCGGAAAAATTGACGCAGCCGTTAAGAAATACCTTGTGAAATTATTTATGGTCGTGTTTTTATCTACGTGTTGATGATTTATTTAACAAAGATGACGTGTTTATAAAAGTATAGGGCTTTTCACCACAACATGGGCTGTATAGTTTGCAAGGGACATCGGGAACTGCTTGACAAGAACAGCCTGAAGACTTAGAGCCGCGTACTCTCGATTTGGGGTTTCCGTTAGCCTCGCAATCTACCATTGGTCATGGACCACGACGCCGCGGTCATCTGATTACAGACTACCACGAACTGGTGGTTGTCCAAAACCGCACAACATGAGGGGTAAACGAGCTCAATATATTACATAGAAATTATAATAGGTACTAAAGGTTCAGGAAAAATAATGACGGATGAACTCAGAAGTCTTCCATTTACAAGGTGGTTGATAATACATGGCCAATTCGCAGCTTTTACCGTAGGAACGCAATGTATGTTCCTTATAGTAGTATAAAAATATCGCTTCTGGATCAGGAATTTAGGATTTTTAGTCACTTATCTCAATCAGATATTGGCTCACACACCTTTGAAGCTGACTGAATGGTTGGCGGAGATTTTACGATCGATGTGGGATTTACATATAAGTTATAACTTAAATTATAGGTAAAAAAATGGGTTTCGATAATCTTTACTATCTGTAATTTTAGGGAGTATACACTAAAGATTGTGTTTTGATTGGCAATTGATAATTTACCTTTCCGAATCTTCAGAAATGTTATTCCCCAGAGCTCAAACTGTAGCAAGTGTACCTATTCAATGTTTCCATAAACATTTACATCGCC